ACAATTAAAAATTGCGATAATATTGAATTTAGTAAAAGTTTTAGCCTTATAAATAGCATTTAACATCTGTTTAATTAAAGGAAAAGGGTATCGTATTTTTAGAATTATATTATTAATACCCTTATAGTTTATATAAATACGGACGCTACCGCCGGGCTTTTTAACTAATAAAATTAGGAAAACCGTTAATAATTATAATAACCTAATAAATTTTTATTTAATATTCTTATCTAACTATTTTTTAATAACCTCCAACTTTAAGAGGGAGAATAATTATAATTGGATATTAAGCAATTCGACTCCCGGAATAAATTCGATTTTATAATTATAAAATTTATATTAGGGTATAACTTTAACATCGCTAAAATTAGCTACCCTCTAATACTTATAATAATATATTAATATTTTTACTTTAATTTACTCTTTAATAATTAAAGGTTTATTCGCCTTCTTATAGAACTTTTTAACGTCCTCCTCTATAATCCTTAATATAACTCCACTCATATTTCCCTTTAAAATCCGTAGAAAATAATTTATAAACTTATCGTTATACTTAACTCTATTACTTATATAAATATCTTTATATATTTAATTTATAACCTCCAATTTCCTATCTCTCGACTCTTCCTTACTCTTATCCTCCGCCTCCACTTCTATTTACCTAATAGCCTCCTCAATTTTAGCCTTACTTATAATAATCGTTTCTAATTACTTTATACAAATTACGAAATTAAAGCTGACAACGTTAAACTTTATAATATCGTTTATATTAATAGGGATACTACTAACATCAATAGGCCTTACAAATAATAATATTAAGGGCTTTCTAATTAGGTCTACAGTAAATATACATTATCTGTTAACTAATTTATAAAGTACTAGCTTAGTCCTAGGTTCGGGTATAAGCGTTAGGTTATAAAATAATATTATTACTCAATTCCCTTCTAGTAAATTAGTAAGCTATAGTAATTTAGGATTTATACTTACCCTTTTTGCAATTCTTTCCTATAATTAAACCCTTTTATATTAAATTATATATTTAATCTAGGATAGTACTAAAGGTTCCCAGGAACGTTCCGGGCTTAATATTAATAATAAGTCCGATATTAGTAGGCAAACCAAATCTAATTCTAATTCTAAAAATAATTTAGCCTCGGGCTCCAGCATTACCAATATACTTTCGAAGCCCAATCCATTATTTAAAAAAGGTAGCGCCGCCATTAGCGCCGATTCTATCTCTCCCTCCGTCCCCTCTTCTTTAACAACTTTTACAACATCCCTATATAAAACTTTAAGTACCCGTATTTAAAAATTAAGTATATCTTTAAGAAGATATTTACCCCAACATTTCTTATTAAATTTGAACTCTCCTATTTCCTGATTCGTAAAAGGGTTATACTATTACAATTAGGGGAATCTTGGAATAACCGGGTTTTTTAATAATAATATAAATATTAATATATTAATTTCTTTATTATAAACGCTAATCTTGATTATTAACTATATATAATTAGTAATATAAGTATTAATATTACTATGTGCTAACTTCAACGGCCATAGCCGTTCTAATTTATAAATTAGTAAATTATTTTATTTAATAAAATTCGCATTAATAAACGCTTTACCCATACAACCGCTATTAATTAATACCAAATAATATACTTTATACCTACTATAATAAAAGTAATTAGAAAGAAGGATAGATTTTTTTAATCTAATTATGATTAAACTAATTAATAAAGATTCCTCTTAATTCAATTCTTTACACTTTAATTTTAATAAATATCCCTCCAATTCCTTCTCCCTTTCGTTCTTTAACAATAGCCTCCACTAGCGATTTACAACAGAGGCGCCACATTTCCCGTACCAGTATTACTATTGTTAGCTTTAGGGGTAACTTCGCCGCCGCTACCGTCAACCGTATTAATATTATCGTCGCCGTTACCGTAACCGCTCTAACCAAGCTTTTTATCATTATTATTACCGGACTTTTTAAAGCAATTAATTTTAATACTAACAATAGGTCCCTTGCCATTACCTAAATTTATAAAACGCTAATAAATTTTCCATTTATAGCCCTTTTTACTATATTTCTTATATTTGCTATTATCCTAACGATATTTCTAAATATCAAAGGGTATAATACAACGTATAACTACCTCGAATTAGTTTAAATCTATAATATTATTACTCGATAAAACAATCTTAATAAATCTGCCGCTATTATTTCCGCCGTTAGAACCACCGTTACCGGAATTAGAACCGCCGCAATTACTGAAGGGGTTAGAAAGTTTTTTTTTAAAAGCAGCTTCCTCGTAATTACGAATAAAGCTACGTAAGAATAAAACCTAGCCATAAAAATTATTATTGATTAGAAAATTAGTTTAGTAGTTAATTAATTCCTTAAATTAATCATTAACTTTCTTTTTAAATAAAAAGTTTTTTTTTTCGAATTATTTATATTATAACGGTCAATATAAAAAATGAATTTATTTTCGAAGTTTTAGGAGTTGGATTTTTACTAAAATTGCTATAGAATACATTCGGCGTCTAATTTTATATTTATAGTATTATAACGAATATTTAAATAAATAATTAAATCCTCGCTTATTTTTTAAGATTATATTGAATTATCCTTACTCTTTATAATAAATGTTATACCTTTTTCAACGTTAACTATAGGTACTTTACCTAAGCGGGTATAAATATAGAAGAACTTAATACGCTCTATAGGAAAAGCCTATTCCTTTATACTCTAATATAACCGAATTTTCGTACATTAAATCGAATAAACATCATTATAATCCTTAGGAATTTTACCCAATATATCGAAGACTTTAAAATTTAGTACTATATAACAACGACTATTATTATTATAATTTACAACATTTGCGGCCAGACCCAGAATTAAGAGTTTAAAAGAAGGGTTATAATTACTACAATTAGGGCCTTCAAGACTTTTACTACTACTACTACTATAATTACTACTACCGGGACTTCCGGGATTTCCGCCGCTACTATTACTATTATTGAGGCCGAAGCTAATAGGAACATTAATACCATTATTTTTAAATAAAGTTATAAAACTATTATTATTAATTTATAATTTTACAATTTAATTCTATAAGTAAAATATTTAAATTTATAAAGAGACTACTTAGGCTTTTATAATTCCGTTATTATTAATTATATTAAATATCTCCTTATTATAGTTTATATAGAATTACTCTTTATTTTTATATTTATTGAATTATTTCGTAGCCTCCGACCTTTATTAAATAATTTCGTTTTAGAGGTTCCTTTAGGATTGTTTATTAATACAGTCTTCCGCCTCTTTATATAGGATTTCTTAATAGTAGCGTTTTTTAGAAGTACAAAAGGCTTCGGCAATAGTATCGACAATAATTATAAAAACTAGTAATTAAGCAATATAATTAATATACTAGCGAAAAATAAGTAGGTAAATAGCGACGGGATTATTAATTAATAATATATTATATAAAAAAGATTATATATAGCGATATATAATATCGTTACTATACGTACGTAAAATTATTAAAACTATTTTATTATCGGTCATTATTTCGTTACTATTGACCAGGGGATCGTTTAATTCTTAAGGAATAAAATTAAGACTATGGAACTTATAATCCTAATAATAATAGTTGGAGGGGCAAAAAACGTTAACCTTATAGGAGTTTAACCCCTAAAGAATAGGGTAATTATTAACTATATTAAAAATTAAAATTTAATTAATAAAAATAGCTTCGTTTAAGAAATTGGAGGAATAATTAATAACTACAGATTCAGTATCGGTATTATTATTATAATAATAATTAATAACTACCAATTCGGTATCATTATCGTCCTTAGGGTAAATGAAATAAATATACTTTTAATTAAGGATATCATTTAACGTTGAACTATAACTACAATAATTATAGAATCCATTTATAATTAGGAGTGCCAAACGGATAAGTATTATCGCTAGATTAATTCTCCATTCTATAAAGGGCGAGAACATCGAAAACAATTCGAAAACTTAATTGCTAGCAAATCGCTAAGAAAGACGTTCGTTACGATATCTATAATAAATAAGCGCGCGCAACGCTATATAAATACAATAAACTATTACGGTGCGAGGGCACTGTTAAGTATAAGGTATAATCTTTATTATTATATAAAGAAAGCAAGAAAAGTATACGCAGCCAAGGCAGATATAGGGCATAGGTAAGATCCACCTAACTAAGTAGATCTACCCCATAACCGCTGCCAAGGCTGCCCAATACCATAGCTCTATCATACTACACTGCAGTACATTGGCCAATAACAGCCATAGCACGACTAGCACAGGGCATGTAATCTAGCCTGTAATAAGAACAATTACTACTACCTTCTACTATTATAAAGCCAACCCGGAGCAAAAACTTGATACTTCTTCCTTTTCCCTCTTTTAATTAAAACCCTAAATTATTTATTTATTTACTTAGAGACGGAACTTAGGAATTAGAGAGCTAGGTAATTAATTATTAAAGTATTAAGTCTTCTAAGTAGGAATTGTAGCCAAATAGTATTATAAGCTTAATCCTTTAATAATTAGATTGCCCAACTCTCTCTCTTTTTCTCTCTCTCTCTTTCTTTCTCTTTCTCTCTTTCTCTCTCTTTCTCTCTCTCTCTCTCTCTCTCTCTTTCAGGCAAATATAATAAGGCTATATAAAGAATTTAAGTAACTAATTAATATCTTTCTTATTACTAAGAAACTAAATATATTAATATAATTGTAACTATAACCGTGATTGTGACCGTGACCAAATGTTTATTAAATATTTAAAAATAGTTAATATATTATAAACGTTTAATAATCCTAACGTTTAATAGAATTCTAACGTTTAATAGTTCAAACGTTTACCCATTCTAACGTTTAGATGCATTTTAACGTTTATTTCAATAAATATTTGAAAAATTTCAAACAGCCACTACCGCATTTGAAAAAATCACAACGTTTACGACCCCCCAACAGTCAATTGACAGTCAATTTACTATTCGCTAGACCCCCGCCTTCCCAGTACGGGAATGGGCGACTTTTTGGTGGACGCCCCTCCTTTTTGCTCAGTGGAAGGTGTCGTCCGCTGCCCCATAGTGCCCCTCCTCCGCTGAGTCCACTCCGAGTGACCCCGCGGCCCGGATCCACACCGTGAACCGCGCCGGGCGATGATCAGGAGCTCCACTGCACCCTCCTTCATTTCCTTCCTCGAAGAATCTTTCGGGAGTTGAGAGAGAGGGAATGAAAAAAAAAAATGAAGCCGCCTCGTGTGTCTTTGTGCAACCGCAAATCTCGCGACCTGATCCCTTTCAGCCCTTCTCGCTTGCACAAATCATCCATCACGGCCCGTGTCACCACACAGAAATGGGATGCTTTCCTCCGATTGTGGCTTGTCGGCTGGTTCTCGTCAGTTTTTCTTGGACGCGGTTCCAAATGTCGCGACGGTCATTCGGGGGCTTCTCAAAAGATGAGGTCGTATCAGCTAATCTGGCGCGGGTCGGTCTAGGGTATCCGGATTCGACCTGTCGCTACTTGGATCCATCAGATTGGCAGAAAGGCGCGCGTCAAAGGCCAGCTGCCACGGCTGCTACTGCAAAAGAAAAGCAAAGCGCTGTCACGAGGTTCACCTGATGCAGTCGATGGCTGCTCCCGTCTTCAAGGTTGCCATGCGATGCACTGCCAGAGTCTGCCAATCTGGGGAGAGGGATGCAAGTCATAAGCTCCCGTGTTCGTCCTCTCGGTCTCCAGTCCACCAGTCTCCATCCGGCTAACCTTGACGAGCTGCCTTGGGGTTGTCGAGGTTGACGACGAGGGTGCCCGGCTCTCCCCGCAGCCCTATGAATAAGCGAATGGAGAATGGGTTGGTGGAGTTGCGGACGGGAGCCAAGAACGACTCCCGGTCCGAACGAGTCCACCCGCGACTCCATCGACGGCGACGTGCTCCACCCGGGGAACAAGAAGCACGCAGGCGACAGTGTCCACTCGGGGGGTGTAATGCTACCCACATACACCATGGCCTACGTACGCACTCATCATCACCACCAAACCGCGGTCGCTTGCCGGTTTTACCGTCAGTGTCAGGTGTCAGCATGGGACCGATAGACTGCCCGGACTTACAGACGGGGGGTGCAAAGAAAGTGTCGAGGCGACCAGGGAAAACGCCGGGAGAGTCCCGAGGAATATAGTCCATCTCGCGGTATACTAATCTATCTCTCGGTCTACTCCCGTCTATCCGCCACTGGCTTCCATATTATTCCATCTAGTTTGATGCACTCGCGCATTTGCGTCCTTGGCTTCCATCTACTTGTTTCAAGTCTGCAATATGCAATCCCCGACTCACCTCGTGGTCTTTATGACTTCACACCTTTTCAAAATCTCTTCACGTCATACAAATGAAGACCATGTGGAAAGGTGTGCGATTCCCGACGTCTGACTGGCTCCCCATCTCGACCGGCCACCACTGCCAGCTGTAGAGGTACATAGCAGGTCAGCCATTTTCAAAAAAGTGGACAGACTGACAAAGATGGAGGGGAGGGTCTCCCACGGCCGACATCGCACACCCCCTTTTGGCAACTTTGGATCAATGTTGGCCCTTTGATAGGCCCGCTCGAGTTTCAATCCTCGCTGGAGTGGGTGTGATGGACATTACCGGAAGCCATGATTAGAGGGGGAGGTGGAAGAATTGCGTGAAAATCCAGGCTGAATTGCTCATTCGGACACTCTCTGCTGATAAGAAAGATGGCAGACGGGATATCGGCTCACCAAAGATCCTGAGGTTAAAGTCCTACCGCTTTCACACCGTCCCCAACGAATTCTTCATTAATTCACTTTACACCTGCGCGAAGAATGCGCAGTTCAAAAGTGCGACTGCCCATTCTCATTACCTGGCTGTCTTCTGTTCGTATCCGTCGGCGACCAAGATATCGACCAGGCCTCGGAGATACACCACGCCGCCAGCCGGCCGTTTAGATTCGATCCGACACGCAAAAAGCAAGCAACGACCCCGACAAACCTCCATCGAGACAAGCAAGGCTTCCGTTAACTACAGTATCGGATCGAGAACAAAAGATGTTTGCACATTAACCCGAACAGTCCCTCCACCCGATGGGGTTGAAACTTGAAGAAGGCGGCAGTTCGCCAAGCCATCTCTGCCTAGCGCCAACAGGGGGGTCTCCGACCACTTCCAAGAATCGACGTCAAGTTTAATGATCCTTCACCTTTCGTTGTGATCACAAGAGTTTCTGATAACTCTGTTGGCGGCTCCCTCACCTAGGAAGCAACGCTTCTACTATCCACCGTGTCACTTTGTAGCAGACAGGTGAGGAAGCCTGGAAGATTGCCGACGGGAAATACAGCCTCGTCTTGTCTCGTCTATACGCCTAATCAATCCTCGGCTTCTTGCTTCGTTTCAATCCCTTGTTACCGAAACGGCCATGCATATCTCCGCCAGATCTCAGCTACCCTGAACATAACAAAAAGAATGCCCATTGTCTGCCTAAGATGCCCAGGCTCTTCCATGTTCCACTTCTACCTTGTTGGTATCCGCTTCTGGAACTGTATCGCAGGCAGAAAGCCTTGAGACAGGCGAGACAGGCAGCCTCGGATCGGATATGTGATATGAGATGCATGGAGTGAGTCTAAAGAGGGATGTGTCTTCCCCTCACCTGGGTGAATCGCTCCAGCGGAAGCCTTCCCGCAAGCCATACACAGGACAGCCATTCATATGCCCACGTTCGGATAGGTCTAGACTTTGTCGCCACCTTCCAGGCAGGAAATATGCAGGGATTACTTACAGGACTAGTAGCGTATCCGGCTGTTCAGTTGTTGAAGATCAGTTCTGACTTACAGGCCAGAAGCGTTGACGATACTCCACAAGCGAAGGTGGAGGATCGTCAACTTCAACTGGTTGGTATAGCATATCATTGGATTTTATCACTCGAACTAACTGGGTGCCACAGGTGCTTGCCATGGGGCGAAGACAAAGTGAAAAATTGAACCTGCAAGTCAACTTCTTGTGATGATCAAAGTTTCGGAGGTTCGGAAGGCTTCCTCACTTTCACTTTCTCACCTTCCCCCTCCTCCTCACCTCGTGCCCCGCACAAAGTACACTCTACATCTTCACAGCTCATCCATCAATCCAATCCCAACGCCTCTCCGCCCATCCACATCCTCATCGCCTCTGCACATCTCCTGCAGACAACCAAACTCTCACTTCCATCTGAAAAAGCGACAAGTCGCTTGCTTTTGTGCATTTCTCCTGCGTCTTTGTATGCCATCTGCCTGCCATCTGCCACCTAATCTGCAATGCGTATGCGTATGCCTCCGTCGCATCCCACATCTTGTTAGTTATGCGTACACTATGTATGTGTAATTGTCCATTTTGTACCTGCGTGCGGGATAAATACGGTACACTAGATACTGGATAAAAGCTCACACCCGTACCTACTTGCGGAGGAAGAAACTCGTGACAACGAAGTGGATGAAAAAGGGAACACATTTCTCCCACTCAAGTCACGGACATAATTTATCATCAAGCCTCAGGCGGATTCCCAAACTGTCATAGAAAGCATCTAGACATCCAGTCTCACAAAGTAGACAATGTACCTCTACCAACCAGGCAACAGCCTCGTCAACCCCTCCTGCCCTCGTCGCCCCTCTTCTCGTCCACCAGAGCAGGCTCACAAGAAGATTCCTTCTCACGGTTCCTTGGCGGGACCTCCCGCATTACGTATCCATCACTTATCACCAGCAAGTACGACCCTTTTGTCACTCGTTCCTTCCCTTTTAAACAACGCAGCTTGAAACCGGCATCCAGCCTGAACCCGAAGCCTTTAAAACTTTGCGGATTGAATGGATATGATTGGCCGTTGTTAGTTTTATTGCAACATCTCTTTGTTTCGAAACCTTTCTGTTCTTTCCTTCAGTTTAGTGTCGACTTGTTTCTGTTAAGTTGTTTCTTACCGTAGTTGCCGCATCTGACTTCTCTTGAGAGTCTTTTCTGTTTCTGTACAATCTTTTTGCTCTTTTTCTGGTGGGGTGGTGGGTGTTATCTTCATCTCCCCCGACGCCCAAGGTACGCGGTCTCCAGGAGCATTGAATGAAGGATCGATTATTGATATGAGTAATGATTGAGGATTTCAGTTGGTTGAGGTTAGATGTTGAGATGAATCTGATCCGATCTGGGCTAGATAAGCAACTCAAAAGACTGCTGGAAGTCATGCCTAACTGAACTCGATCGTCTAACTGAACTCGATCGTCCAACTGCTATCCAGAGATCTTGTGCAGTGATCCTTTCGGGTTCGGGTTCCGGCTGGATCCGGCTTTGGTGATGCACAACATGACACAGCGACGCATGGCTTGAGAAGGATATACCGAATCGGGTAATCCGTGTAGGAGTCACAACTTTTACATGTATGCATCGCTCATTGCTTTTCGTTGGGTCGAGTCGATGGCCGTCGATGGCTTACATGACATGTCACGTACATGATGATGAGCTCACGGGGTTGTGAGGAGACCGTGAGAAGGAAGTAAGGTAACTGGGGCTGAGCTTGGGAATTTGTGAAGAAAAGTTGAAGAGGCTACTTAGGTAAAAGATGTCTATGTTGTCTATTTGTGTTGTAGAATGTTGCAAGATAAAGAACTGTGGAATATTGCAACACAATCCGCCCTCTGTGCCTCCTCTGTTGCTCACCAAAACCCTAGATGTGAAGAAGATAAATCAAAATGATAATTACAAGAAAGGGGGTATCGTCGCCGTGAAGATGTCATGAAAGTGAAATGAACCAAACCCAAGTGTACCGTACCTGAAAAAAATCGTATCGTACAATCCATTGTCAATCCATGAAAATGTGAATGAAGTAAGGAAATCCGTGAGTGAAGGGTGCATCCAAGGCCAAGCGTCAATCGCCGTGGTGAGCCTGAAGTCATGCTGGCCCCAGATGAGAAACTCCAAAAACTCTGCCGTCAACCGCTACCTCCCTCACGCTCAAAAGCGGGCAACCCTCAGCCTCCGCTCCAACTCAAGGACCTGAGCAAGTTGCTCATTCTCCACCCTCAGATTCTCATTCTGGGTCCTGAACGCCTCGCTCTGCTGCGTGTGGATGTCCAGGTTCTCACGCAACCTCCCGTAACGACGCTCAAGATCGTTGTTCTTCCGCTTCTCCGACTCGAACTGTAACCTCCAGTTGGCCACCTCCTGCTTGAGGGTATGAATCTGATCCACCATAGGCCTCATCTTAGCGTCCATCTCATGGCGAAGCTCGCGGACCCTAACATTCAGATCATCCTTGTCCTTCCTCAGCTTGGAATTCTTCCGCTTCAGGTTATGGATCTCATCCTCCTGGAGCCCCTCGACGTTGGACAAGCTGTCGAGCGAGCGCCGGAGGTTCGTGTTGTCAAACTTGAGCTCCTCTATACGGGCGTCCCTCTCCTGGAGCTCGAGTTCCTTTGCCCGGAGCTCGTTGCGCAGGTTCTGGTTCTGCCGATAGGCTTCGTCGTAGGCCTCCCGGAGGACGCGGTCGTGTTCGGTCATGGTGTTGTTGTTGCTGTTGTCTGCTGGTAGCTCGTCCCGGTAGACGTAGATGCGCTCTTCGCTTCGGGTTCGGGGCCGGTGGCGCGGGCTTCGGGGACTTCTTGGGTTTGGGCTTCGGGGGCTCCTGTCAACCGCTCGGGTTTCGATGAAGACTCGATGAGCGGGCATAGGGCCGGTGTTGGATGATGATAGTGTTCTAGGAGTAAGGTATCTTATAGAGGCCCGTGGGAAGACGGTGACTAATAGTTGATGGCAAGGCAAGTGATTGGTAGGGCTGAGCTAGGAATATGCAGGTTATCTGCTGCAGGCGTTCGTTGTTATTCACCACTAGGAGTTGAGAGAAGTGAAAGGTGGCCGGGAAGGGGGAACGGAGCAGGTGGGATGGGTGCGGCTTGTTTAAGAATGACGATGCTAGGCACCATGTTGTGATAGGACTGGATGGATGGAGAGGTGTGTGGCACAAAGGTCACCAAACACTACAACACTGAGGGACCCGGTTCCGGAGCGAGGCGTCTAGCAATGCCACGGTAGGTTGATTTTTTTTTCCATGACATGGGAAGGGCGGACTAACACGCAGAAGAGATGGACCTGGATGTACGGTTCTGCATCAATGTGTCCATGACAAGCAATGACAGGGTGAGGGCAATCACAGGTCGGAAAGGCTACTATGATGGCGGCCGCCGACATGATTGCCCTTGATGTTGTCCATGCCGCATGGGGAGGGGGGAGGGCTGCCCTGGTGCCTGGGGCTGTTGGTCAGTGGTGTGTATGCCAGGAGGGTGATGGGTGTCGTCTCGAAAGACTTGTACCGGTATGACTGGATCTCGTGTAGTTCAGATAAGGTGTAGGAAGTGTCTCAGGTCAAGGTCAGCAAAGACCAACCCAACGGTCATTCCTATTCCACTTGGACGGTGAATGACCTCGCAGCGGTCAAGGTGGACAGCGTACAAATGTGTGTCAGTCATGAAATCCACATCGTGTACCTCAGAAGATGGTGCTAGACAGGAGCACAAAACATGAGGGCAACAACAGGAGTAGTGATGAGATGGCCGATGGGCTATGACCAGGGACGGACGATATCGGCGCCCGACGCGATGGACCACAGAATGGCAAATGACGTAGCTTCGACTCGGTGAGGCGCCGCTCCAAACTGCCAGCCAAGGTGAGAGGCCGGCGATGGTTGCTTACGGTATCGCATCGTAGTGTGGCATTGTCGCTTACTGTGTAATTTCAGCAACCGAAAGGTCTGGACTTGCGATGGAGAAGGCGCGCTTTCCTGAAGGTGATGGGAAGTTGCAATCGAAGGAAGAGAATAAACGCGGCAGTCACGTTCGGGACACACCGACTGGCTCATCAGTCGCTGTGCGTCAACGGTTAGCGGGGATGGCAGGTGGCCGGGGTGGGGGCCACCTGCCACGGGGCCCCTCATCCACTGAGGGAGCACCCCCCTCAACCACTGTGGCTCTGTGGCTTAGCTCCCGTCCCCATCAACTCCTCCTTGATTCCCCTCCATGACAACTTGGACGTCACACAACCTCTTGTCCTCCAACACCGTTTTTTTGTGATTCTTCGTTGACCGACCAAGGCCTTTTTGTTTGCCCACCACCTCGTCGAATACCTCATCGTCAAGGGCAAAAGGCTGCCAGTGTCTACGCAAAGTCCGCTGCCGCTTGTCATCTGGAATGGAAGTCTTCCACGAGTTTGGCGATTGTGTAGTCACCACCCCACCCACAACAGGCTGTCATTCGGATACAACTACACCACAACCACATGGCTCATTATCATGACTTCACCAGTCTCTCAGCCTCGCTTCGATAGTCATATGGCAACCCCATTTCCCGAAATTCTTTGGCGGGTCGCTCGTCACGTTCCTTGCATACCCCTCAACCTTGGGCTTGGACATTCCGAAGAGTGTCGAGGTTACGCAATCATCGCAGTCCAGATCTTCAGCCTTTTCATGCGGCTGAACATTCCGAACCAAAGACGGCAAGGCTCTGTGGCTCAGCAAACCCATCCATCCTTCTTGTTGGGCTGATTGTCCTCTGCGACCGTGGCATGAAGTCGTGCCTCGTTGTCACAGCAAGAGCCTCCGTCCGTGCCGCTTCTCCCAGCTGGTCAAGGGCCAGATGTAGTGGTGTTAAGAGGCCGCCATATCTCCTTTTCCATCGTTGGCAATACCCTTTGCTTGTATATCTCTGCCTGGGAAACAACCCATAGCTAATTATCTTCACAGTTACATACCACCGGCCCTTGATCGGTTTAATCTATCAAAGCACTACCACGACAAGAATCAGCATTTGTTGTAGTGTTAGACAATCCGAATCCGAGCTGCGTCGGCTTCGTCGGGGATTAACCGTTCGTCTTTGCCTGTCAAACATTCCCGGATTTTTCACATGGCAAGCCGTATACCGTGGTTATCGAGAAGCCTAGGGCATTATCCAGTTACGCCGGACGCACCAGTCCGACTCAGAATCAGCCTTCGAAACAGCCTTGGCCCTTCAAGCGGTGCTGTAGGAGCCTGGTTTGCTTGATAAGCACGACCAACATCGACCAACGAATAGAAGAGAGGCTCGCAAACATCAGGGATTCTATGCTCTCCGGTTTTCATTGTACCACTACGGGCTGGAATGTCATACCCACCGATCGCGAAGGCTTGGCAGGCCATGTTCGATGATCTGTCGTCTCCCCATAAGCTCATCATCTTCGACCCACTGAGCTCAAGTTGCTGCTGCCTGTACTAGTGTGCGGGATGCAGTCGCGTGGTTTTGAGCAGTGGATATCATGAGCGCCTATGATCAAGTTTCCTGTTGCAGCTCGCTGGTCAGTATCGGCGTTTTGCACACGTCGCCTCTATCGACGGACCTAGCAGCCTGCTCGAGAAACTTGACTTGCCCTGACTCGGGCTTTTTGAGCACTATTCCCAGAACGCTCCACAACAACAAGACAGTTCGGGCGTGTGGCTCAGTTGGTAGAGCGTTCGCTTAGCATACTCACCTGTATGCGAAAGGTCCTGGGTTCGATTCCCAGCTCGTCCACTTCTCATCTACATTTCTCCTTAGGGCGTGTGGCTCAGTTGGTAGAGCGTTCGCTTAGCATGTTTCCGAGCATGCGAAAGGTCCTGGGTTCGATTCCCAGCTCGTCCAATACGATTAATGAGATGTTTCTTTTTTTGCCCGGTTTCGATATATTCTTCTGCTATTTCCTCTGTCAACCCCCCGCGCCTAGCTGAAGAATGCATTTTTCTGTGCCTTTTCTCGTTTTTTCTGGCGCCTCGAAAAGTCATGTGTACTACCATCCTTTTCGGTTTTGGAGGTCGGCACTTGATCTTCGCATTGTTGCTCCTTACGACTCAGTTCACTTGGTCCTTGTCTCGTTGCTGTTATGATTTCGACCTTTCAGGATAAGCGGACAATGTTGCGCTCTCATCAGTCGATGTGTGCAAGCAAAAAACTCTTGGTCGATTTGAGTACTGACTTGGTTCTGCATTTAGGATACTGCGGTTTATTGCCCGAGATACGAACTATGCACACAACTAACCAAACATGTGGTCGAGATGACCAAAGACCAGCGCAATACTTGGTTACAGCTCATTTTTTGATCTTCTGAGCGGCCTCGCCTTGGCCCAAATACTCATCAGGCTCATCAACATGCTCCTGATGTAACCCCCTCTCCTTCAACGTTAATTTTATCAACTCTGCTTTCTCCTTGCGTCCTTCCACCTCTTTCAGTTTCCCCGCAACCCTGATCATTGTGTGTTTTCCTCCGTAACCAAGAGCGGTGTCTTTCCGTCTTCATCCTGCAACATCTTGGCACCCCTATCCAACAACGTCTTGACCATGTTGATATCCCCATACCGTGTCGCTAGATGTAGCAAAAAGCTCTCCCCCACCTTGAAGCCATATGACTTCCGCGGCGAATGGTTTGGCGTGTCCAGGGACTCCTCCAGCCCATTATCAAGCAAGTACATCCGAATCTCTTCATTCCCCGGATACAGCGCAGCATGGGGCAATATCTTCTGTCGATCGTTTCTGCTCATCGTCTGGAACGAGTTCGACCCTGGAGGAACGGAACCTATATCCAAAGAAGTCAAGACAGCTGTACAACACAAACAACTCTCAAAATTGCGCTTCTTGCAAACACCATGACTCCCAAATAAAACTTTTCATCATTCATCATCATCATCCATATCATGTACAACATCCCCCTTATTTCATCCCGAAAGCGCAGCCGATAACACCAAATGAACCCTCATGCAGATATCCATCAACCCTTCCATCTCTCATGCTACCCACACATACGACCTTCCTTTCCGTCTCTTTCCTTTATCTGCTCAAATGTGAAAGTTAACCATCGGCGGGGTATTCGCCAACTGAGCGCCCCTCTCCTTCAACACCTTCTTGACCTTCTCCTCCGCATCCGACCAGCTGGATGGCGCATCGCCCTTGATGAGGTCACCGATACTATTTTTGACAGACAATCGTTAGCACAAAACCCCATCACGTCAAACCTTTTTGCGTCATCAAAGAAAAGGAAAGTGGTGAAAACATACCCGCTCAACAAAATCTTGACCTTCTCCTCCACCTCCGTCGTCGCCACACTGGACCTCATGCCCGCCACCACCTGCCTAGTATAATTCTTCACCGCGATCCCAAGAGTCTGCTTAAACGCCTCATTGCCCGCCCCCTTGGTTATATTAGCAATCGGATCACCGGGGATAGCCGCCATGCCCATGTTCAACAAAGTCTCGCCAATATACCGTCCGAGGGTAGCCTCCTCGAACTGCGCCAGCAACATGGGGTCTTCGATCAGGTGGTCCTTGATTTCCGTTTCAATCCAGATGCCAATGGGCGTGGCGATGCCGGCGCCGATGACGGAACCCATAGTCTCGCCGAGCATGAAGCCGATGACGACGCCGACGCAGACGACGGAGCTGTTTGCGCATTTGGCGAGGGCGCGCGCGGCGTGCTCGTGGTTACCGGCTATCTCGTGGATGCCTGCGACGACGAAGCCGAGTAGGGGCACGCCTTCGAAGGTTTTGGCGGCCCAACCGTCGCGGTCCCAGAAGCCGTCGCTGTTGTGGTGGTTTGTGGTGTTAGTCTATCTATTTCTTTGGCATAAGGTTGTGACAAGTCAGTCCACTTACTGCCTAACAAACTGAAACTTGCCATCATTGTTCATGATGCAAATGGCCAAGTTGACGGAAGCATTCGAGTAGCTATTGTACCAGTTCCTCAGCTCGCCCTCAAGTGTGAGCGCGCCAGGCGACGGCACGAGCCTCAGGTTCCGGGACGAGTTGTAAAAGTGGTTGTCGTCGGACTGGAACGAGCCGTTCTTGTTGGCGTAGCATTCGTTCAGGTCGATTTCCGTCACATTGAACTTGCCGTTATACCCCAGGACGAGACCGCGCAGGATCGGGCCGTCGAGGTGGTAGAAGGAGCCCGTCTTCAGGATGGATTCGTGCCTGTGAGAACCCAAAAAAAACAAAAGGTTGGTAAACAAGCTCAAGCCGAAGAGGTGTATTGTGTATGTTAGGGTGGTGACAGAAAAAAAAACAAAAAAAAACTCACATGTACTGCTTGAACTTGAGATGTCCGTCGTCGTTGGTGATGAAGAGGTTGAGGTCAACCGTTTGCTCTTCATCCCTGGAGTAACCATAACTGTCTTGCATAGTTGCGTGGAGGCTGAGCCTTTCAGAGAGACGTTTCTAGCAGTCTCGAAGAATCTGTTTTGGCTGGTGTTGAAGTATCCATCCTTGTTACCAATGCAATCGTTGAGGTTGATCTCGGACTGTCTCCAACTGCCATTCTTGTCCTGGCAGTCCGCCCTGAGGGTTGATCCATCGAGTCGGACGTTTCGACAGCTGTTGTAGAAAGCCATTTTTGCTGAGACAGGACTAGGAGTAGTATCTTAACTGAGGGGAGAGAATGAATGGTTGGAAGGATGGGATGATGAGATGCAGGAGACCAGACAAAGAGAGTGACGGCGAAGTTTATATATCTTCGTGACTCATCTCAAGAGTCTGTCGACAAGCTTCTTCCGAGTAGGTATGTATGCCACATCACGAAACTCCGACGACTTGGTCCCAGATAGATCTACCGCATTAGCTGAAGACTAAACATCATCTAGTGCATTAGCTGAAGACTAAACATCTCCCGAAGGTAAAATCGCTCTAGGAAAATCCAAGATAACCACCAGCTGAATGAGATTCCACTTGTCGATCACTTGCTAGACCTGCATTTCAGCTCTGGTGCTAGCAAGAATCTTTAGGTCGATTAATGGAGTGTTGAACGAAGCTTGTCGTATCGATCATAAATCCGGGGTCCCTCTTGCATCCATATCAAAGAGGACACTTGAGAAATCGGTTGGTGGTGAACCGTTCCCGAATTCTGCCTACGCTAGCAGAGACCGCGTCATCGGTGGTGGTTCGGTATGTGTGTGTGTTGAGTCGAGCACGAGTCGAGGAAGAACGAGACGGGGCGGGGTCGACAGCGCTAGAAATAACTCAACTCAACTCAACTCGGGAGGTTGAAGTTAGTTGAGTGGGTTGAGTTGAGTTGAGAAAGTTACCAGCATAATTTGACTACCTATAACCCTAACCCCCACCCGGGAACTCCTCTGGAACCCAGACTGTCCCCGGCCAAAACCTGCACACTTTTAGCACCCAAAAAAGTTTCTGCCGGGTTGCCTAGAAGGCGGCCAACTCGCCAACTCAACTCGGGACCCTCGAGTTGAGTTAAGTTGAGTAAGTTGAGTTATTTCCAGCGCTGGGCGGGGAGATCATGGTGGATCCGGGACGGGCCCTGATGCGTTGTCCGATGAGATCATGCAAGATCTTCAGCTGTAAGTTTTAGCGTCGATCATGATGAGCTCAACTGCCATCCGGAGTGGAGACCGGGCAGCCAACCGCCGCCGCAGAGCGACGGAGACAGGGTGAGTTGCGGACCCTTTCGGCCAGCTTGATGATCAAGGAAGATCAAAACGATTGGCTGTCAAGGCTGTACACTGGAGGTCTCCGAATGACAGGTCTCAGGGTAGCATTGACTGAAAACAGAGACACGAAGCTGAACGGCAAGCGCAGCAGGGTGAGCGGAAATAAGCAAAATAGAAATGGGGTATAGGTATGTGAGCACAGGTAATAGCAAATAGTATTGTGTGTAGGGTATCAAAACATCTCTTTTGTTGGGCCACGAGGGCCCGAAGCTAGACGGAGGCTTCTCCGACTCCGTTGGGACTTTTTCATTAGACGAGGATGACAGGTGTTGGGTCCGACACCATCTTCTGAACATCCCCTTTCAACACTCATTCCCATTCTTCTCCTTCCGCTTCATCTCATCCTTTCGATAGGGTATGCATACACCCTTAAACAACCCAATCCAACCCTACTTCGACCCAAAATGTGTCCTGTTGCTCCTTCTCTCTCGGGTGGTTCTGTTCTTCCAACCGCAGAAACCATGTCGCCGAGAAAGACGATGGAAAGAAGGCCAAAGTGAAGAAGAAAAGAAAAACATGATACAGGTACAAGTAAAAAAAAAGAACCAGTCATGGTGAATGGTTGAAACTGGTGAATGAACAGAAACCCCCCAACTCTGCAAAGAGGAAGAAGGAAGACGAAGCACCAAACACCAGTCCAGGACGGCTCACTCAAGCACAACCTTCAAACGAGCCAAGGAACTTCACGCTTCCTACCCGTTTATTAAACCAAAGGCGTGTGTCCTGGGCCAACCACACCTCCTGGGAGCTGTCTGGCCTCGACGGGTGAAGCAACAATGGAGGTGAACATGTATGTACCATGTCATACGCGTCTCACGCATTCGGTAACATTTTCGCTCTTCCCAGTCGGGAAACCAAAGCCACTTTCCATATATATCTGCGAGATCGCAAACACTATTGGCAGCGACCACAGGGGTTGATAAAGCGATCCTCGAAACAGTGAATTGCCTCGGTTGAAAAGCGTCATCTCAACATCTCCTGTACGGGCATCCCCAATTCGAGCGTTATACCGTCCTTTTATCTCGAACTCGAGTAAGGCTTGTTCATCAAGGCAACCTCCCTGGCAATTTCTCCCCACTCAAGCTCTCGCTTGATGCCTTGGCCTTCAGAAGACGACTCGTCATCTTCCTTGCCATCGGCCGTCAGAGTGTAATTGCCGTGATCCTTGGTCTCTTGGTGAGAGCGAAGCAACTCTTCCCATTTGAGCAGCTCGTAGGCAAACCTGAGGTGAGGCTGGATGATGACATTGAGCCGTCGAGCGCGGACAAAGCAGTATGCTCGCGGGAAGGACATTCCCATGGAACGCATCACTTCGGCGATGCAGATGGTGGCGGAGCGGGACACACCAACACGACAGTGGACTAGGGTTGCAGTCCCGAGGCGACGGCCACGGTCTACGGGAGGTTTTGTCAGTGATTATGTGATCTGGGAGAAAGGAATGTGGGAATGAATAGGGTGGGGAAAAACAGAGGAAAATGAAAAAAGAAACAACGCACCAATGAACTCCAAGCAACGCTCAAACTCATCCGTCAACGGATCAATTCCGTTGTCCTGCACTCCTCGCACAATACACGTGTTTTCCTCCCCCCACTCCTGCAACTCCCCGTCCCGCCACATGGCCATCTCACCCACACTCAGGATTTGGCCGATACCCATTGCCCTAAGTAGATCTGGGTTGTTTGCATGGGTAAGGTTGCCGAGGTACATGTAATCAAGGATCCTGCTGGGCAATGACCCGTCGAAACCTGTCCACCATTTTGGCTCGTTTCTGACAAGCTCCGTAACTTGGGCGAGGCTTCGGTCGGCTCCAATGGGTGATTCTTGCAGGAGTCGGGGAGCGATTGCCGCTAGGAAGCTTACGTCGGAGGGGTATGCGAAGAAGTTGCGTTTCATGATTGTGTGCAGCTTCAACCAAGCTTCGGGGATAGGTAGGCCGGTGCTGTAGCTGTAGTATGCAATGCCTAGGACTGTGGATTCTGTGTAACCGTCCGCGCAGTGAATGAGAATCTTTCGTGGGCTTGGTGGTGGCCGAGACCTCTCTCTACCGGGGTCAGAAGATTTCTCTGACCTAGTCCCGTGTGAAAGATGCCAGATCCATTTGCAAGTGTCCAGAAGAGCGTCTGCTTCCGCATGGGAATAGTTCGGAACTAGGAAGCTTCCTGAGGAAGGAAAGTCAAAATGGACCGTTTCTGGTACATCGCCCAGCTCATCCTCAGCAAGAGCTTGCAGGAAAGCTGCACAGGTGTTGGCCCTTCCCATGTCGCTGCACTCGATCTGAATATGATAACCATTGTCCTCCTCGATGATTGGATCGGGAGTAGGACCCATCCAAACATTGAGTGCAATTTCCGAAGCCTGCGTCATGAGATACATTTCAAGTCTCTCTTGGTTGATGAAGTCCAGTACATTCCCCGTCAAATTACCAGTCGAATCGACTGCCACAATCTCACGGTGGTTCTTTTCAAACTCGTCGAATGGGCTAAGGCAGATAAAGGTGTTGTACTCGGGAACCCAATGACGCTGCAGCTCATGCTTGTAGCGCCACTTGTGCTGGGCGGAAGCTATGTCCCAGCCCAACTTGCGAACCGCCACTTCGTCATCGCCGTAGACGATGATATCGCTCGTCATGGCGGCCTTGGCGGCTTGAATCTGAAAGTTGCGGACGGAAAAGCCTTCGACGGGGTCAACATCGATGAACTCGGCGCCGCCTAGGTGAAGGAACTCGTGAGGAGCAATTGCGCCCTTGAGGCGAGAGATGTTGAGGTCGCCATCGGCCTTGACAATGGTGATACCACGAAGGCATGAGGGGGTCTTTCTCAGAGCACGCTTGCGGGCGATGAAGAAGTGTTGTTGCACTTGGTTCCGGGGATGGAGGCCATGGTACCAGGGGAAGACGTGCGCGGGATCTGGCAAGGGTTGCCTCGAAAGATAGTCCAAGGCAGCAACGACGTCGGCGGCGTCGATCTTGTAGATGGAGAGATCGCCGGAGTCGACATGGTGAAAGCGATGAGGCGGGTAGAGAAGCGAGTGAGGAGACGAGTCTTCGTCGGCGCCATTCGTCACGGGCCAAGGCGAAGGCGGCGGCGTATTAGCGTCGTCCTGGGAAACTGCAACTGAACCCGGAGGACAAACGGGAATATGTTTGTTGGGGATGGGCGCCGGGTGAGTGGTCGGCGCCAGGGTGAGGGTGGAGGAGATGGAGCCAATGTTGGAGGAGGACCTATGGGACTCGAGTGGTCGTGGAAGGGCAATCGTCGCCATTGTTCCTGCGCCGCGGTGGATATGATAGAGATGCTAGACTAGAGCTAGTGGGGTATAGTAGTATAGCCGTTCGTACTGTTGTTCACTTGGGCGCGTGCGTGTCGAGGTCCAACGACAAGGCAGTGTGATGCGATTGCAATTGTAATGGATCGAGGTCGTCGGATGGTGAAGAGAGAATCATAGGAACATGTTGATAGCAAACAGAAGGGAGGCGCCAAAAGGTGAAGTGGTCGTTTCCTGTTGCACAAAGACAGAGACGGGAGAATCCAAGACAATTGAGACGAGGTTGTCAATGGAATGAAGGGAACCGGCACGGCCCAGGCGAAGAGTGAGGGGAGGGTGAAGTGCCAAAGGGTGGTGAGGTGAGGGGGTAGGGGTAGTGTTGTAGTAAGGTGGTGTTGGGGGAGATGAAGAGAGACAGGGCAGGGAGGAGGGTCGAGGCCGTAAGTGGAAGAGTGACAGGCTTATCGCAGATCCCTGCTTGTTATTTAACAGCCCGGTATGGGGGAGAGAGCCAAACAACGGGCAGCTCGCGCTGAGACGGCGGCAGATAAGACAACGGCAATGGCGTCAGTTGGCGATATTGCGCTAGATTTGTCGGATGGTTCACTACAACGTCGAGACAAAGAAAGGGGAATAATGACAGATGCGAAGGCTGTTTGCTTGGAGTGCTTCGAGACCGGTGTCTTCCGGGGTGGGACGAGAGCGTCAAGGTCACCCTGTCGTGTATCCGTTCGTTCACACCCGAATTGAGCTGATAATGAAATGGTTGGTATGTAAACAACAAATCCCTTTTGAGAGTGGTGTTGGAGATGATGGAGCATGGAGGTTGAGAAGCTTTCCCCAGAGCCCACTTTCGCCCACTGCCCTGTTCCGCACCCAGCAGTCTGGAAGGGTCTCGTCACGAGGGGGACAAATTGGGGAAGGTTGCTTAGGGCGTGGTGGAGGGGACGTTGGCGCCAACGGATGGGGCGTCGCCAGGGTATCCCAGGGAGCGTGGTAGCGAGCAGGGACCAGATCGGTTGATTTGATTTGTGTTGTTCAATGGCTTCCATGTCGTGCAATTGCAAGCAAGTGCAAGCAATGGGGCCCCAATGTGAAACATGAAGCATTCCGTCCCGGCGTGTGTTAAGTCAGTCAATGCAACATGGACAATCTTCAGGCATTACATATGATTGATGGACATGCCCAGACGAGCAGAGGGTAGAAAAGGAAGCCATGATGAAATGCAAAAGCTCATGTTGGGATGGCACTCACTTCCAGTGGTTGGACAGGTGCAGAACCCCGCGCCGCGTCGTCCAATAGCATCCTCGGGCGGCTCCTCCATGTGCCTCCCTTTTCTTCTTATTGCTGCATGCGCGTTGGTGCCCATGTCACAGAGGCACAAAGTTGAGATGGACCAGTAGGAATCCGAGCTCACTGAAGGATTAGACGACCTGAATGTCGAGGGAGCCAGTGGGAGTCATTGCAGACCATCCGCAAGGGTAGCGAGCTTGTTGAAGTCGTGCAGTGTGTAGTGTCCTCTGATGTCGTCCAATGCTGAGGTGATCGCGATCGCTTCATGGCGAAGGTGAAGGAGGACATTTTGGAGGAAAAGAAATCCAACGGAACTCAAGAGAAATTTTCCACTTGACTCACAATGCCCAGGTGAAAATTCAAATGGGAAGGAGTTTCGGCAGAAAGGCAGCTGCCTGCGAATCGCCAGATTGTTCCTGCCTCGTGAACTGCGCCGGCGCCGCTTCCCCTGCAATAAATACAGCATACAATACATAGCATGCTGCCAAGAGGCGAAACATTTGGACGGGCCGGAGTCGGTCATGGAGACACTCACCACCACGGCGGGGTGCTCTAGGTATTTCGAAAAAGTCTAATTCCCAAAAGGCCAGCATACCCTATTTTGGCAGTGTTTTACTGAGGAGTCATGTCTGCGGACTGAATTCCCCGGGTGCCTGCCGCGAGTGTGACTTGATAAGATAAGGCCCAGAACGAGTCAACAGGGGCAATTATTCCTCGCCAAGTTCTCCAACTGTTCACCGTCGGGTGCTCTTTTCATCCATCAGAACACAAAGCCACAGGCACAGTCACGGGTCCACCCCGGGTCACACGGCAGCACGCGTCCAATGCTACGGGAGGTTCCACGTTCCCCGCTTTGGCCCACGACGGGGGACCCGGACCCTTTACGGCTGCCCGACCCACGTTGATGAGTTTAAGTTACGATAAAGTTACCGCCGATAAGCTAAAGTCGGTCATCGTCAACGAGACCCTCGACATGGAAAATCCTGTCTTTGGACGTTATTCCAAATACCAGAGGTTTCTATTCAGTCATCTCTTCACAAACATCCTCTCAAAACTGGCTTCACACGGTTCACTACGGTACCAGGTCAATATCGACGCAATATCCCCAGCCTATAACATGACTTCGTTCCCGCCTGATGTGTGGATATGAGATGAGCATCTCACGTTCATGACTCGATAGTCTCAAGAGTCAAGACACCACACCCGTTGCTGGTCTTGACGGATAACGACCTGTTTTACCGCATTACTACAGGTAAACATCTGCTGGTCGGGGAAGGCGATGGCGCCGACATTTTCAGCTCAACTCAATTTCACCTCAACAACATGCAACGGCATATGCAGACCAGCCGCACACGTCACATTCACATTTTCCGCCGGGACACCACCGGGACACCACCGGGACACCACCTGGACATGAAATGAAGCCTGGTGCTGATCATTTTAAACTCGTCCGGGATGCCTGGCTCCTCACCAGGCCCAAACAAGACATCTACCCGCCGACTGGGTGTCCCACTTGGTACCATTGGAGACGAGGCGGACATCACGCGCCTCCGAAATGGCCTTCTTTAGTGGATCTATTTGGTGATGATGTTCTTGTACCGCTGCGTCATTCCCGTCTTGAAATCTTGTAATCGTGGAGCTGACGTTGGAATTTTCGCTCTTTTTTCGATATCTCAGCAGGCAAGCGCCCGTTGATGATCCTGATTCTCATCTAAAAGCCTTCTTTGTACGGTTGATGTTCACATTCAGTGGGCACTAAAATGGGCTCAACAGGGGCTCAGGGGCGGGCAGTTGCAAATGGAACGGCCATGACGGCCGGGATAGTCCTGGATGCCCAGGCTTGGGGGTGGGCCAAGGAACCGATGCGGGGCAAAATTTTCAGCGGTCCCGCCTCCATATCCGCCCCGATTATCCATGGTGCGGTGCCTGCCCGTGCCTGCCCCAGTACTGTAATGGGCTCACGGGCAATTGCCCGCCAATTGTTACCATGTTGCCATACGCCTTTAAGGGCGGGCCGGTGGCCGATGCTCGGCGGGAGTGATTCATTTCTTGACTGCCCGCCGATCGTCGAAACTGCCACTCCAAGACTCTGAAACTGGGGCCGCCGTCAACATTTTGCTCCCTCATTCCTCCTTTCCCTCGACAAACCAGTTCCTAAAAACCAAGCCCAGCAATCAGGATCCGAGATCCGACTGCGAAACCACCCTCCCCAAACCTCCAACAAATTGCCCACCATGTCCAACGGCGTCGCGACCAACGGCACTGGATCCCAGGATCAAACTCACACCCCTTCCCAGCGCTATCTGAGCACGCGCGGTGAGGACAGCGGTGTATGTCTCTCTGTCCCTTTGTATCGCCAACCATGTGGTCGCCAGCTGCTGACCTTACCTTAGCTCTCCTTCGAAGACGTCGTTCTCAAGGGTCTCGCCTCCGACGGCGGTCTCTACATCCCCGAACAGGTGCCTGTCGTACCCGAGTCCGTATGGCAGAGCTGGAAGGACCTCTCCTTCACCGACCTCGCCTACAACATCATCTCCCTCTACGTTTCCCCCTCAGAGATCCCCGCCGAAGACCTCAAAGACATCATCAACCGCTCCTACGCTACCTTCCGCACCCCCGACGTCACTCCCCTCGTCCACCTCCAGGGCAGCATACACCTTCTCGAGCTGTTCCACGGCCCGACCTTCGCCTTCAAGGATGTCGCCCTCCAGTTCCTCGGCAACCTCTTTGAGTACTTCCTCGTGCGCAAGAACCAGGGCAAGGAGGGAAGGGACAGGTACCATTTGACCGTTGTTGGCGCGACGAGCGGTGACACTGGCTCCGCCGCCATCTACGGTCTGCGCGGCAAGAAGGATGTCTCCGTCTTTATGCTTCACCCCAAGGGCCGTGTAAGCCCCATCCAGGAGCTTCAGATGACCACCGTCCTTGATGCCAACGTCCACAACCTCGCTGTCACTGGCAACTTCGATAACTGCCAAGTAAGTCCGGCTCTTTCACGCCCCTTGTCGCATTCTCTAACCCCCCCTGCAGGACATCGTCAAGGCCCTATTTGCCGACCCCGAGATCAACTCTACCCACAAGCTCGGTGCCGTCAACTCCATCAACTGGGCCCGTATCCTTGCTCAGACCGTCTACTACTTTTACTCCTACTTCTCCCTTGCCCGCCAGTCCGAATCCTTTAATATTGGTGACAAGGTCCGCTTCGTAGTTCCCTCGGGCAACTTTGGCGACATCCTCGCGGGCTACTTCGCTTTCCGCATGGGTCTCCCCGTCGACAAGCTCGTCATCGCCACCAACGAGAACGATATCCTTGACCGCTTCTGGAAGACCGGCTGCTACACCAAGAAGCCCGTCAGCGGCTCCGAGGCCGAGGGCGGTCTCCCCGAAGACGGCGTCAAGGCGCACGAGGATGGAGTCAAGGAGACCATGAGCCCCGCCATGGACATCCTGGTATCGAGCAACTTCGAGCGCCTGCTGTGGTTCCTCGCCTACCAGTTCGCCTCCAGCGTCGGCATGGACGACGAGTGGAACAAGAAGCAGGCCGGTCAGGAGGTCAGCTTCTGGCTCAAGGATCTCAAGGAGAAGGGCGGTTTCGGCCCCGTCTACAAGGACGTCCTCGAGAGCGCGCGCCGCGAATTTGAGAGCGAGCGCGTCAGCGACCAGGAGACCCTCGACACCATCAAGAGCCTCTACCAGGAGGTCGGCTACGTACTCGATCCCCACACTGCCGTCGGTGTCGAGGCCGCCAGGAGATCGGTCAAGCGCGCCGGTGCCGAGATCCCCCACATCTCCCTCTCGACAGCCCACCCCGCCAAGTTCTCGGGCGCCGTCACCCTCGCCCTCCAAAACGAGCCCGGGTTCGACTTCGAGGCCAAGGTGCTACCGCAAGAGTTTGTCGGCCTGGACAAGAAGGAGAAGCGCGTCAACGATGTGGCCAACGACTGGACGGCAGTGAGGGAGCTGGTCAGGAAACAAGTAGAGGAGGAGTTGAAGGCGCGAGATGGGGATTCTGCTTAGGCGTCTGGGTGATGAAATTTAGCGTGGGACGAACGTGGGGAAATAAAAATTAAGAGGTTATTCATAACATTCAACGTGTGTATACTTGTGGGTTTTTTTTGGGATGATATCTTTTTTCTTGGGTCTTCATATTCCATTTTTTTAGAGAGAGAGGTTGCAAAGACAGTTTTGTTGTATAGATCGAAGCGTTAAGCATTGGATATTGAGTTCGTTCGACTGGCCCCTTTTTTTCCTGGATATACCACGATGGTTACTAGATAAAAAGAGATGTAACCCGAGATGACGTATAAACGGGCATGTTAGCCAAGATACCACTATTATGCCAGCCGTGCTTGGTGGTGCATAACACAGATGAAGATATGATAGAAGGATTGAAACAGTACTTACCCAATAACTGACTCTCCGATGAGCAGTAACGGAAAGCCACCCGGGGACATATAACTCGACCAAATGCAGAGAGGCCTCCCAGTCCCGTCAGGATGTCTTCAATCTTCACATCTTCATGTCCACTTCCACTTCCGTTCCCCCCAGACTCCCAGGGCAGTGCACCACCCTGACTGCCAAGGATTTTTCGTTTTTCGTACCCCTGTCCGCATCACGACGAGTCGACGACCGCCTTTGAAAAAAAAACTTCGACCACACTCATACCCCCCCAAAAAGAAAAAAGAAAAAATAAAAAAAATAAAAATAAATAAAAAATAAAAAAAAACCAACATGAAATAAAACCAAATAAAAGACTGTTGAAAGAAGGGAGAGAGGAGGGAAAAGGAAGATTGAGTAAAAAAACAAAAGAGGAAGAAAACGAAAAAAAAAAAAAAAAAAAGAAAAAAACATACAACACCAGGGATTCGCTGGTCGTCACCGACCCAACTACTAGTCTGGCCCTCACCGGCTTATCTATGGGAGAGCGGACGGGATCCCGAGTTTTCCAGTGGGTATGGTCGTATGTGTTTGTTTGGGTTGTTTTGGGGGGTTATAAAGGGGAGGAGGAAGTGGGAAGTGGGGGAGGTAGTGCGGAGGGTAGTGGTAATGGTTGTTGTAAGTGGTGATGGTTGTCATAAGCGGTCATGGTGATGGAGTGGAGTGGATGATCGTCGATGGATTGGTCTTCGATGGTTGTCGATGGATGGTCATGGAAGGAAGGAGCGGATGGAAGGAGTGGATGTAAATAGTGAATGTAAATGGTAAATGGAAATAGTGGTCGGACATGGTGTATGGACAGGGATCGGTTGAGGCTGAAAGGGATACGGTAGCGTCTGTAGGGTCTCGCTGGGTTAGGGGAGTTGGGAATGGTGGAGTTGGGAATGAATGAAGAAGGAGTTGCGAGTAAGGGAACTCGAGGGGAGATGGGTGGGCTTCGGGGGTATTTAGGCTCGATGGATGACAGGGTGGCATTGGATCGGTATGGGAATGGGGCTGGTCACGGTTGGTTGCTACCTTGGGTGTAGAGGGCATTTATCGTGGTGTGCATGTATATTGAGAGGGAGGTTGCTTCTTTGTAAGTACTCGCCGGTGGAGCGATGTTGGTCGGGACTTGCGGAGTTTACCGCGATACTGAAACCAACAACACAGTTCGCATGCGCGCGCTTGTGTGCGCTGATGGGAGTCCACTGCGCATCGTCATCCTGTTGTGACTGCGCGACGGAGGTGACCGTTCGTGTTGCGTTAGAACAGGCACGGCTTTCTCCCCCTTACCTAGACCATACCTGTCATGTCAGTTTGGTCGCTCAACGTGATCGCAACTTGAAGTTTGGCTCGATGGATGACTCTCACCACGATGACTGATGAAGTCAAACACCACTGTCGCAATCAACCAGCCAGTGATAATATATCCAGAGGTATAAAGGTGTCCCTAATGAGCCTCTTGATCGCCATCTCCACACTCCCATCACCCTCACTTCTCAGTACCCGACATCTGACTTCCCACCCTCCCTTCTCACCCTTGTTTACTACCATTCTTTCTATTCTTTTCCTCCCGTCACCAACCATGTCCTCCCCAGCCCGCCCCAACTCCCCGACTCTCCCCCCACCCCCCGGTCCCCCTCCTTCCTCCCCACTCCCCCTCCTGCCCCCCTTCCGCCTCCCCTCAGGGACAGCAAAACCAACAGCAACCGACACCGCGCGGCAGCAAGGCGCCCTACTCGGTCTTTTGTCATGCGTTTGTCGAGTGACCGAAACTCTGTACCAAGATTTCCGGTTTCTCGAAAGAAGGTTTGGAGGTGATCCTGTGCGCGCGCCGAAGCAGCAGCTTGAAGAGCGCAGGAAGAGGGTGAGGAGGGTGTGGAAGACGGTGGAGAATTACCCCGGGTTGGCGTTGGAAGGGGAGGTGGTGAGGTTGTGTGAGAGGATGTTCGGGGATGTTTTGAGAGGTGAGTTTCCCAGTGATGGGGTGTGGTGAAAATGGGGAGGTGCGAAGGTGCTTTGAATGTTGGAAGGGCAGAAGGGGCACGGGGGGTGCAAGGGATGCAGGTACGGATGGGTCTTGGCGCGCACAGCTGGGAAGTGTGGGGGTAGATGGTGGGTAGATGGGTTGGGGACACTTAAGCCCAGCTTTTTAGGATCACCATTTTGAGACTCCCATTACCTCGTGGTTATCAAGACACACCATGCGTAGATTTGATATGAGTTTAGTTAATAGTATTTTTAGATCAGAAATACTGAACTTGGTCGAGTGTCCCCCTTCCCAGTACCTCCCATCTACACCCACCCCTCCCAAGGAACCAACTTGCACTACCAAGGAACCAACCAAACCTGCCTCCCTGCCTTGGCGTCCAGGGCGTCGCATCAACACCACCCCCTTCCCAAATGCAACAAAGGGTATTGCACCCCCGATGCTAACCACCATCTTTCCTCTAGTATACCACCCATTCATCAACAACGGAGAGAGCACCACAACCTTCATGGTGCCATGGGGAGAGTATCTCGGGACCTTCACGGGGACCATCTCGGACGTCGAAGAGGAAGTAGACAAGGCAGTAAAGAAGTTGACCGCGAAAGACCGGAAAACTTCCGGGACAGGTGGTGGCGGCGATGCGGGAACGGGAGTGAGGATAGAATCGTTGATGAGGCCGGTATGATTTCGGCAGGTGAGGTCTACCACGAGGACGATGGGGCAGGCGATGGTAGGGTTCGGCGGATGCGAACCGGAGAAGACGCGAGGTCGAACAGGTGAATGTAGATAGCGCGAGTCAAAGAACTAGAACTAGTTAAAAATAGCAAGCGCTCAAGTTTCTCGCGACTCTGTCAAAATCGTCAAGTGAACGCGTATGCGTGATCCAATGCAGCGCTCGTGCTGTCGTGCCCGACCCAACATGTTGACCGGTGGGGAAGCCGGTGCGGCGGGTGCGTTCACGTCCTTTGACATAAAGGACCTCGACGACCCAACAAGTCCAAACCACCGCCCGGTTTCGTACAAATCATGCTAACCACCATCGAATCTCAAAGGAACGATATCGTCATGACGTCCCAACATCATGTCGATTCCCAACGGCATCCCTTCGCGCTCGTCGTTTCATTCATTCTGTGTGATCATGCGCTCATGCTGGCGATGGTTTCGACCGACGACGGGAGTCCAACGACGATTCTTCACAAGGCTACGGTCATGCCACTGTGCCTTTGATACCTTGACTGGGCTAGAAGAAGGTATATAAAGATGGGCTCATCTGCTTCTCTCGTTTGGTTCATGACAGAAGCATCTCGCACCATTCGATTCCACTTCACAGTTACTAGCACAAGATCAGAAACCTGCTTATATTCATACCCAAGCATTGGGCCATTCGTATTTTCCCTACCTGAAGTCCAAGAAACATATATTCTTTCATCACAATGCCAAAGCGCAAGTCAGCAGATCTAAGCCTTCTCACCATTCCGGAAAAGATCGTCGAACTATCGGTCTGGTTCGAGGGTCTAACGCCCTCCTTCAACTTTGACGTGCCCGAGAAAGTCATGATGGCCTTTACGTTTCGCAGATGGGCGACACACTTCCGTACGTTAAGGCACGCGGACTGGCTAAAGCACAATGTCTTGCCAAAGGCAAGAGAACTTGCACCCAAGATACCTGAAGAGGACGCGATGACCATCAAGCGGCTGCTCGAAGAAATTAAACAAGAAGTTCTGGAAGGTACGTGGTTCTTTCAATCATTCTCTCTCTACTTGGCTACCTACATTTTCAACCTCATGTTATGCCATCCTACATGGAGCCTTGAGCCGACTTTATCATCCAAAGACATGAAATGCAAATCAGCCCGACAACGTATAATATATATGACAAAATTCACACCAGTAACGAAGCTAATTCTTGTTCGTCACCAGTCCACGACTTTTAGCAAGTGCACGTGACGACGAGAACGCCCAGAAAATTCTTCGACGAACTCCGGAAGAAGGACTTTTGGGATCTGAGTATCCCTGTGAACAATATCAGAGAGCAGAAGGAACTCCTCGAAGAACCGCACCCAGCTTCATTCATGGGTGGCGACCCTTGCCCAATCCCAAAGAAGTTCCAAGAGCTGTGCGAGGCACTTGGTAAATATATGGAAGGAGGTGAACGAGAGAAAAGGGTCCTGGAAAAAAGCTGGAGTGAGGCCCTAGGTGTGTTGTCTGAAAAGGGAGACTGGTGGGAGGATGAAACCGAATGGTGGTGGGAGAGATATGTGGAGGACAAGAACAGAGAGGAGAGGACCTATATCAAGGACGACCGGCACAGACATCAGGACTGGGCTTACAACAAGAGACTGGCGCTACGTTACAATTACATGAAATTGCACGAGGCATCTTGACCCGATGGTTTCCCCAAGGCATTACCGCCATTGCCAGCTTACCAGGAACATCTTGGACAAGCAACAGAGGGATAGGGATTTGGAGGAAACTGTGATTTCTTTAGGTACTACGCATGGGACAATTAGGAAGGAAAGGAAACCCGCTGGCTGGGTTCAAACTGTGATGGCTGGAACACACAGATGGAATTATGGGTTATTTGGTTATTTCTTTGCTATAGGGACTGGAAAGACTTGGTTCGACATCAAGTTCTCGGAGGAAATCTTAGGATAGTTTTCGATTATTGGAATATGAGGTTTCTTAACCCGCCATAATACCGTCCTGACAGACTGGAGTTGTCAACATGCCCCTGAAGTGACATGAGAAGTAAGATATGGAAATGTTCCCTACGGGCAAGCAAAATGTCAGTAAAGAGTACCAGGTCGAGTAGACATATGCCCCAATAATTGCAACAGCGGATGATGGATGACTACTTCTAAAGGGGTGAGTGTTGCGGAAGTGAGGCCAATCACCACTGGTATTTTATTACCGGATTTGCCGGAAAGACATTGCACAACAACACACAAACAAAAACGAACCTTGCAGACACATGGTGCTGGATTAGCATTTTTACTCCCCCAAAACAATCGCCATAATCAGCGCCACCGGCTCCCAAGACGGCTCTGTCGTCTCCCGCCTCCTTCAATCCCCTTCCTTCTACCGCCTCCGTGCCCTCACCCGCTCCCCCACCAGTCCCACTTCCCAGTCCTTCTCCTCCCAGGGCGTCGAAGTCGTCTCCGCCGACGTCAACGACCCCTCAACCCTTGGTCCGGCCTTCGCCAACGCCTACGCCATCTTCGCCGTCACCGCTTACTGCCCCTCCTTCCCCACTCTCGGCCGACACGGCGCTGGCGAGGAGGAACTGCAGCAGTGGAAGAACATAGCTACTGCTGCAAACAAAGTGGAGGGTTGAAGCACTTTGTTATCAGCACGCTGCCGAGCGCGGAGGGGAGCAGTGGGGGGAGGCTTGAGGTGCCGCATTTTGATTTCAAGGCTAGGGTGGCGAGTTGGATTAGGGGGGAATTGCCGGGGTTGTGGGAGGTTACGACGGAGTTTTGGAGTGGGATTGGATGTATACGGATAGTTTGGCGGGGTTGCCGATTTTGAAGCCGGTTGAGGTGGTGAGTCTTTTTCTTTTTCCCTTTTACTTGATGTACACGGAGAGGATGTGCTGACACAAGAGTGATGTTGCGTGAAGCCCGGTTCGCAAGGCGGGTACATCGTCCCGCTCCCCGGTAACCCCGATACCTTGCTTCCCTACACTGGCGACCTGCACCATAGAGGTAATATCGGCGTCGTCGTCGAAGCAATCATCAACAGCGGTCCCAAAGCGTACGGAAAGATTGCTGTTCGGGCTACGGACTACGTGACCTGGGCAGAGGGATATAAGGCCATCGAGAAGCTATTCCCTAAGAAGAGGATCGCGTTCAGCAAGATTGAACATAATCAGTTCATCAAGCTCTGGGGAGAGTGGGGGGTTGAGATTGCTGATCAGATGGCTTGGAATGACGAGTTTACCGACTGGAAGGGATTGGCTGGCGAGAGATTCCTGGGATTTGAAGAGTTAGGGATCAAGGAGGGGGATCTTGTTGGATTTCATACGGCGCTGGAGGGATTGAAGGAGAAACTGTTCTGAGAGCATGACGCCAGCTCATCCATAGTTTTACGTACCGCAGGATGGTGGTCTAGAATGAGTGGCCAAGTTTCTGTGAGTGTCAGTGAATGAGGCGGATAAAAAGAGGACATCCCTGGCCGATATATTGTATGTTGGTCTTCCAACTTCTATAATCTTCACGTTCTCTGCGTGGTTCATGATCACCTACCTCTATTGTAAACCTAGCTAAAGAAGAAGAGTAGCCGTCGGACGAAAGTCCCTATGTTATATTGCGTTGAACGACCGCAGATGCCACTGCAGGATGCCTCGGGTTTGAGCAGGTCCGAGACCGTCAGGATCTTGGGCATCACCTCAGAATCCATTAATTACCATCTAAAATATTCCAGCAACCCGTCCGGGAGTCCGGGTGCGCAACCCTGGTACCTGCCCTAGCATTGAGGATCGGGTGGACACGGGGAGGGAGCCCCGAGTAGGGCCGAGGAAGATTCTGGGCGTTTGTCGCACAGACCGCTAGTCCTTTGCGCTGCAGGCCCTTTGCCCTGCACCCTCTTTTGACAGCGGTTCTGGCACTTCCCAGAATCCCCTCCTTTGCAGACCTTCATCTTTGTATCGCCAGCTATATAGCTGGCGATCCCCTCCAGCTTCTGACCTTGCACTTACAGGACTATAATCCAGCCTTGGACGCGGCGCGGCGAGCAGAAAGCTCCTTGTCGTTCGAGCAAGGCCTGTAGCGTATTGGGCCCTCAAGCCGGGGGAAATACTAGGATGCCTCGCGTGATGGACTTCTTGGTGTTGACCATCTCTGGGCAGACCTGAAGCGCCTTGAGCTGGCATGTACTGAAGCTAGCAGCCACGAGTACGGCATCACGAAGAGGGTCTCTCTATGACAAATTGACCCGCTCGCTTTGCTTCGTCTCCGTCTTAAGGGCAGCACAGGCTTTTCGTTCAGCGGGGATCTTACCGATATTGACTTTCCCGGTCATTATATGGGTGTGTCGTCTTCGGTCCGTGGGCTTCTCGATTCTTGCAGGTGACGGCCCGTATAGCGGCGTTAAGGCTACCCTCATACACCCCAGCCGCAAGTATTGCGTGGCGTCCGCTGTGACAAAGGAGGCCGATAACGGCGGGACAGGTACGTTGGCTTTCTACTTCAAACGCGTGCCTGTCTCCTCGGTGGCCATCAGCTCGCAATCGTACGAAACCAGCGCCTTCTAGCTGTCCTCTTCTGGAAACATACGCCGTTCGAGGGTACGGGTGCGATTTCGAACTGGCTGCTCGAGCTGCCGACCGAGATTCGCAAGTTCCACTATGAAACGATCGGTGAAGTTGGTCTCCATCTTCGGTACACCGCGTCGGAGGGCGAGTCGAGACTGTGCAAGGCGGCCGACGAGTCGGTCCGGATCGTCGCGCGGTCGAAGCAGGCCGAGGGCACCAGCGAGTGGTTTCTAGGCCATGTGAGATCTCAAGAACGCTTTGTCAACGCGTGGTACGGCTTCGGTTCGACGGTATTCCGGCTCTCTTGTTCAAGCCACCTTCTAGCTGGGCAATCTCAGGGAACGGCTGCCCTTCTGGTCGCGTCGCCAGCCCAGACTCAAGGCGCGGGCCGTGTCCATCCTGTCCAAAAGCGACAGGCTTGTCGGTGACTTGTATTGCCGACGGGTCCACAAGCTCGGATCTTGTCGTTGGAGGCGGCGAGGTGACCAAGATGGGGGACAAGTGTCACGTCAAGACATGGGCGAACTTGGCCGTCAAGAGCTTGGGAGGCTGGGACTTGGAGGCTGGCGAGACCCGAACGAATGGCGGGGCGGTGACTGCTTGGTTGCTTGGGGGAAAGGAAGAAACGTTGCAGAGCGTGTGGTTGTTGGTCGGTGACGTGTTTCGCGTCGTCGCATGTTGTGCGAGCGCAGAAGGAGGGCGACGAGGCGGAAGAAGGAGGCGAAATAGAACAAAGGAAGCCTTGCGACGTTGATACTGTCCAGTGTATTATGTAGTGAGCCGATAAGGCAGCTGATAAGGCTTGCTGACTAAACATCTCTTGTACATATGTGTCTGTTAGTGCACGATCTCATGGTGCTTTCCGTGTGTTGAGCAGAAACTTGTGTGTGCTCACAGAGACACAAGGGATATTGGATGTAAGTCCTTCGAAATAGCATGTAATGATTTTCCCTTGACCCTTCCATCTCAACTTGTTTGCAATTTGGCCATTTTGTTGTCGCTCCGATGGACGCCAGCCGAAAAGTCGAGTTAACAGCCTAACATGCAGGGCACTCGACGTTGGTTGGGCGGCTGTTGTAACCTCAATCTGGAAGTAAACATGAGTTGGCGCTCAGCGCCCAACCACCACGACAACATCACCACAAGCCATTTACACCAGCATTTCAGCATCACCTTTAGGGCGGCTCGTAGAAGCCCTTGCAAAACTTCAGCACCGCGCAAATATGACGGAGCCAAAAGAATCGGGCCTGAGCTCCCCGGACCCGGAGAACGAACACCATCACCCCCCACGACCACACCTCTGCTCGGCATGCAGCCAGATCGACTTCAAAGCTCTTTTCACGACTCACAGACGTCATAATGACTTGAATCCTTACGAGGATGAAATACCCAAGGCATGCAAATGTTTTGAGACACTTGAAACCCGTGAAAAGTCCGGCTGGCCAGGCCCCGAGTTGGCAGACAAATCCAAACCACAGTGCCCCTTTTACGCATTCTACAAAGACTACCTACTTCGATCCAGAGGCATCACCTTGGGAATGGAGAGGGATCCCGATCATTTTCCGACCGGTATTTTTTTGAAAGGGTTTCATTCCTTGAAATGGTTTTGGGTAGAACATGAAGGATGTCCACACAACCGCGACGATTACCGTAGAAAGTATTGTCGACATTATGTGCAAGACGTTTTTGCACTGCAATTCGCGCAAGGGCGCACTGACCCGGGCCTTGGAGCCTATACTTTCCACGCGCATAATGCGGGGCATGCCATTCTGCGTGTTGTGGATGACGGTCCGAATCATAGTGCGTTGACGAGGGCTAGAGAGGCTGGGGGCGGATTATTGGCGAGAAGAATCTTGCCCGATCAGGTCAACTACAATCTCATTGGGGAATGGTTAAGGCTTTGTCAGTTGGGGCATGCTCAATGTCATGGTGATGGTGATGGTGATGGTGATGTGGTCACAATTCCTGGATTCCGGGTCATTGATTGTACCACGGGAAATATCGTTTCCGTGGTTGAGGCTTTGGAGAGTGGTGGAAAGCACGACAAGGTTGACTATGTTACTCTCAGTTACGTCTGGGGTCAGGCGGGATTCAGCGGTCCTGTCTTACGGGAAGACGGCCTCTCTCTACCAGAAGAGTTACCTCTGGTCATCAGCGATGCCATAGAGGTCGTCAAGAGGCTTGGATACAGATACCTTTGGATCGACCGGTATTGTATTCCCCAGGACGACATACCATCCAAACAAATCCAGATCCAGAACATGGAGAGGATCTACTCCTGCTCTGTCTTGACTATAATCGCGGCAGCAGGAGAGGGACCGGAGTACGGGCTTCCGGGAGTTAGTTCGCGCCATCGTCCTGAACAGCTCTGTGTGCAAGTGGCCGAAGAGATTTCCCTGGCTTTGTATGAAAGTCCCAAAAATTTGGTGACAACCTCAAAGTGGCATACCCGTGGTTGGACCTACCAGGAAGGACTATTGTCGAAGCGCCGGCTCATCTTCACGGACCTGTTGGTTTACTTCCAGTGCTATGAGATGCACGGGGATGAAGTCTTATCGGTCCCGCTTCCTGGCGCGGCTGATTCACTCGATGCGGACGGTCGACATGATCAGTTCGACGACATCCGTTATATATCATTTGAACGCGAAGAGTCAGACTTTGGCTCCGTCTTTCCACGTCGAGTCGCCGAATGGTCAGATTCCAGCACAATCTGGGACAGAATCAAAGAGTTCGCGCAAAGACGACTTGCTTTTGATGCAGACACTCTGGATGCCATCGCCGGTATCTTTGGGAGATACCGTTCTAAAACGACAGAGCACGAAATCCCCTTCTTTTGTGGCCTGCCCATTCTTCCTATAAAAGATGATGATTTATATTCTTATCCATATTTTCACCGTTGCGGAACTGTACGTTTGCCGTGGGCCTGCTCATTTCAACAACTGCCTCTAATACCTCTCGGCAAGCACCTGTGCTATTCCATCACCAATGGTCCAGATTCGTCTTCAGTCAATGATATATCGAACAGTCTGACCTACAAATTGGTCTACAGTCTCCTCTGGGTCGACTACTGAGATCATCTAGATAAGCCTACAGACATTATACCAACAGACCGGCAAATGATGCGAAGATCAGTGTTTCCAAGTTGGTCATGGGCCGATTGGAAGACCTGCTTAATAAAGCATAAGAATGTAGTAAAACGGCACTTCGCCTTAGACACCTGCACCATGGCACATGTCGAATTCGAAGATGAAGCGGGCATTGTACAGAGGCTGGACTGGGAGACACAAAACGCAGAGATTTTGAACCTAACACTCCAAGGCGGCAAGATCCCGGCGTGTTTGACTCTCAGGGGGACGGTGTTAGACATAAAGTTGAAGTTGACGTCCGATTTCGATTCATGGAGCCCACTAGGAACATGGACATATACATGGCCACCATTCCTTGAAGGACAGACGATAGACTGCCTACCCCGTGTTCTGTTTGACGACATTGAACATGAAGGGGGCAGCGATGGCACCTCCACCAGTGGCAAGCGCAACGAAGATGCCAATTTTCTTGGCCTGTTGCTCGCAATAGAAGCCTTTACATGGTCTGCGCACCATCTTTGGATTATGATGCTCAAGCCAGTAAAGAGAACGCTCAATGGAAGACCAGAAACAATGTATGAAAGAGTGCACCTACTGAAGGTGAACGTCAACGAGGATGAGCACGAACGGGTTTGGTCCGCATTACCACGGTTTGTGAGGGAAGAACAGGTTCGATTGTGTTGAGTTGTCGTGTTCGCGCTGGTACAACCTTGTCCTATTTGATCGATCCACATCTCTCCCAACTTCAAACTTATCTCAACCTTGGCACATGAAGATACCTCAACATCTCGTAAAGGCATGGGCCGACCGTGGATACTTGAAAGCGAACTGAAGTGAAGGGACTGAGAAGGTGGGACAAGGCAGGCCATGCAGTAAATGGGGCGAGGCTCTGTGGCGTCGGACTTCGTCAAGGTCCATTGCCAACTGGTGGCCTTCTCATCCCAACAAGACGCCTTGTAAACAGAACCAATTTGGTAATGAAAGTGACGTAATATGATTTAAATTGACTGTTTTGCTTTCCTTGATGTTCAAGGCGGCTTTTGATTGCTGCATCATCTGACAGCTTGCTCTTCTTTCCCGTACTCCTTAATTCTAGGTTCATCAGTTAAATCCCTTCGTTTAACCTGAGGACAAACCTAACGATGCCTCATGCTTAAGCATAGGTACCTATCGAGCACGCCAATCCAATTTCCTAGTTCTTCCAATGCCGGGAAAAGAACTCCTGAAAAAGTATGTGGAGTCTATTAGGTGCGCCTGTCGCCTAAGATCGTTCGCATCTCGCTGACCAACTTCCTGATATTATGGAGCTCTTTATCAATATCATTTTTCGATTTGTTCAACGCGGGACTCGAAACTCGCTGAAGTAACACCAACACATTAGCCACCAACTCCTGTGCAATTCAAAGCTCTGTACCGAGTTTTGATCGAAAACTCACATCCATAGAGGTAGATACTTTTGGGATAACTCCGTGGCTCGTGGTAGAACCTTGGGCCGGGGGGGTGAGTCGTTGATCGCCATGGTTCTCTTTGAAAGATTTCAACTTAGAACGCACTTGAGGAAACGGTGGAGTCAGTGACCTGGGAAACAAGGAGTCGGTCATATCAAGATTCACCAGGAGGGGAACACCTGCGAAGAAAGTAACAATAGTCTAGGGGAGTAGCTTCTCACATTCTCTGGCATTATCCATCAATGCCCCCACAATGTTCCCACAGCTTGTGAGGTCCGCGGTGTCCGTCATGGCCATAATTTGTTCTTTTCGCGCAAATGTACCCCAATACTCCACAATGTTGAGGCCTGGATCTGTTTCAGCATCGACGTTGAATTCATGCTTGGCCAAAAGTTCGAGATATCGGCGTAGTTCTTCACTGAACTTTTCGGCATCGGCCACGAGATTCTTCCTGCGAGTCGCTAAGTTGACGACAGTTTGGCCATTTCCAGCTCGGTTTTCCGCAGCAGACATCGTGGGCTATGTGATTTTGCCTTCGTGTGGGTTCTATTCGCTTTTTGGGGAACGCGTACTGGTACTTGGCGATGTGTTGTCGGAATACATCATGGAAAAGCGCCGACAAGATCTTATTTGTATCCGCCAAAAGGCCTTAGACGCTCGACGAAAGTCCATATCTTTGTTAACTGTTTGCGCTCTTCTCGTCATGAGCACGGGATGCGTGCCTTGACTGTCATGACGGGTTCATTGTCATGTTGGACTCGAGCGCCAACGAGCTGCCAACCGAGCCATCGAGTGATCCATGACAAGAACCAGACGGAAGACGAGGTCTTGGGTTGTCGTGCGCTTAACTACCAACACCATGACGAGGAACCGGGCAGTCTTTGACCTAGATTGACATTACTAGCAAGTCAGCACTCCTGTCATCGTCATTTCATCGACTCGCCTTTGTCTGTCTACACCACCTTGACACACATGTTGGTTATGAGCGTACCTCTTTATCGACCCAAAACGGTCCCGCTGTTGAGTGTTGGTCGAGTTTTCACCCCATCCTGCCGCCAGGGATGTCGAGGAAACGCCCGTGAGCCGTATCTCCTGATTCTGTTCTCAACCTCAAGTGCTGGACATTCATGGAGGACCGCATCGTTTTGCTCGGCGACTAAAGTCTGATACCTGAAGGAAATGAGGATGTTGAAATGCCTCGATCGTTTTTTCTGAATCGATAGCGGGGTTTCCAGTTCTTGGGGGGCATTGCGGCTACCACGATCACACCTGCTGTTGGTGTCCTTGTGGTTCGGCAAACTTCCAACCAACAAACAGTGCGGCTCCCAAAGTGCACATCGGCTAAATCGACTGTGTTCCCATGTAGATCGACTGTGTTGGGCCATACAGTGACTGCCAAGACTCGAGGCTTAGCATCGCTTTCGCGCGCCCGCAACTTCATCACCGAGTCCTTCTTACCAAAAGCCATCGTTTTGACGACAACAACGAGAGCGTTTAACTATCCGTCCTCTTCAATGCGCTAGATTCCTGTTAAGACTGGGGCTTCTCACAGACCCCCCGCACCCCGGAATTAACACTAACTAGCCCTAACCGCTAACCCTAACCTACCTAACACCAACCTTTGGGGTGACCTGTGAGCACAGTGTATCTAAGCCAAGCACAGGGTCGATTTAGGTGCCTTGTCAAATGGACACCCATCAACGACCAACATCCAAAATCGCTTCCAAAAACGGAACATGAACCAAAGACTGCTTGTGCCGCAGCGCTAAACGTCAGAGGCAATCAAAGAAGGGAGAGTCGCCGAAAACCCCGTGATGATGCAAGAAGGGAGCAGAATGAAGTGCGCATGTGCCCGTTTGACGACGATGCCTTTCTCCATTCAACTTCAATGGCACATTCAGTGCTGGACCAGAACTCCAAATCCCAAGGTATGTCCAGTGCCCCCTATTTATTTCCAAGTGCCTGACTATGGAGATCACGATCAAGAGAGGCCTGGAGCAACACCGACGGGTAAGTGGAAGTCTCAACGAGACACATTCTCTCCACACAATGCCGAGTTACAGTTCTCACACTTTTGGCTCTATAGGCGCGCACTCGTGTGGCATCGAGCAGATTCACCTACGAGAACGAATCGGCACAAGGGACTCTTTTCTCGGGCTACACGATCGGTGCTATCACGATCGACGGATCCGCTCGCAGAAAGATGACCGGGAACACCGTACCGACCGATAAGAAGGAGTCCTTCTTCTTCTGGGTTTCCAGCTACCTCGACAATGTAAACGCCATTACCACATCGGCTGGAACCAATACAAACCAGCAAAGCCAACATTATGAACAATCCTCAAAACGGCACATCCTCGCTTTCCGAATCGCTCGACATCGATCGTGGCGGAAATCCCAGATTTTTTCCCCCTTCTTGCGAACCGAACCATGCTCCTGTTCAATCAGAGAAAATATGGGTAGAGCCTTCCATCTACGGCGGCGGCATTTGGAATGACGAGACACACTCTTCTCGTTTATGCTTGGCCAGTGAACTCGCCGGTCGTGAATAGGACTTGCAGACATGAGCGTCGTGCTCATGTTGCTGATATGATGAGTGATAATGAGATGGATCACGAATGATGGGAATGATGATATATTGAGAGAGAGAGATCCAACTAACTGCCCCTTCTCCATCCAGCCGTTGAGCTGTTCGTTTTGTGTTTTACTTTCTCCGGTACCGCTCTTCCATCTGCTTCGCTTCTTCCAGCTCCCACGTTCTGCGCGTCGATCTCACGCTCCGCCACGTGAACTACATATGACCTGTTGCAGCTACAATGACAATCTGCCTTTCGTTCGACTTGAACTTGCGTTCCTCGTTCCTCGGATATCAGGCCTGAAGGCGCCACTCTTGCGGGCAGCTGGGGAATGATGCCATCTTTGTGTTCCTGCGCGGCCTCTCTCTCTCTTTCGTCTCTTCTACGACTAGGTAGGTAGGTATGGCCGTTATGATCCTGACTACTGCTAAGCCAGCCTGTAGCGGCGCGGAAACATTTACTTGGACACTATCTTGCTTTCTTTGCTGTATACATCTGATTTATCACGGCGGTGGCAAACAACTACACTGTATGGCCATGCCATGTTCCTGCAAAACATAAATGGTACAAGGAAACGGAAGTTGGCGATCGGGCATCTCAAAGTGGTGTATATATACGTAGTTAGCCACGGAAGAGGCACCCGACTGCACTCCGTAACATATCAGTCTTTGTTACCGGCTTATTACACCGTTACAGTTCGTGCCCGCCAGACCTCCTTCATCGCTCTACCTACTCTACAATTATTCGTTCAGCGATGGCTCAGAATGATGTTCGTGCATGCCGGTTCGACGACGTAGTTTTCCGAAGAATATAGTGCCATCAAGTATTCAGGATCAAAGGTCCAAATGTTATGATATGTCTACCGTTATCTACGTTTTACTTTCTATCTAGAAGGGCTACACTCTGACTTCGCGCACGTTACACATGTCCTAGGCCCAAAACTCCGACCCAAGCAAGGTAACGCCCTTCGAGTCCATTCCCTTAGGACACTCAGCCACAAACCCTCTGTCTGGCCTTTCGAGAAGATGGTTTGCTTTCGTGAGTTCATGTTTTCCATCCTTTCTGGAAACGTGGTACCTCGTTGGTTTTTTCAGAACAAGGATATTGGTGAATATCAGAGTCAAACAACCAACTTGGCACAATCAAACCCTTGTTTCTTCTCATTGTCACCTACTTACTACCTTGCCATCGTGTGTAAGGCGAGCATGGGAAGGAAGGGTTGCTCTCCGATGCCAGGTTGTTGTTGGATGACAGAAGTAAAGTAGATGGCGAACGTGATCAGGAGGGTGGATGTACCTTTTGCAAGGGGTCGGTATCTTTGCACCTCACTGTTGTAAATATTCGAGTATGCTGAGAATATCTAGTCAGTTTGTTTCGCTGTAATAATAGGACTTGATTAATAAACTAATAGTGTCCATTCCGCTTCTAATCACAAGTCCTCTGCCCGTATCAAGTCATCCCGATGTGCCAGCGTCGTAAAAGACCGGAATCTATAAACACCTCAAACACGACAATGATAGCCCCTACGGTATCGGTGTAAAAGAAAAATGCCAAAGAAAAAAAAAAAAAAAAAAAAACCTAACTAATCCGTCAAGTAAAAGGGGGTGTGCCCCTTGGCCTCAAAACCTGACGGTGATCGTTCTGAGTGGGTAGATCTCACCAACCCGTTCCTCATCAAGATAAAACCCGTAGACCACAATGTCAAGTCTTTTCAGTGACGGGGGAAAGGAGGTATTGACCAAAGCAAGTGCTTCTCCCTCATTTTCTGGAGACATATATTCGTGAATAAAATGGGCGTCCATGTTAGATATGAGAAAGTGTAAGGGCAGTTTGAGATACGCCAATTTTTCGAGTTCTGGCAAGCAAGATAACGTCTTGGTAGGCCCAAAGCGGGTGATATTTGTCGAGCTCACCACTTCTCTGTCTTGCTCAGAAAGCGCCATTCCCTGGTAGCCATCAAACACCAACTCCTCAAGCGTATGTTTGTGCCTCAGGAGAATTGAGTTCCATGTGTGTTCAGGGCCAGGTAAATGTCCAGGAGGTTCCTAAACGTCCAGAACGTCATCAAACCCATTGAGTAGCCGAAGTGAAGTGAGTTTTGTAACGCTATCCAGCCAGCGGTACACGTCGTCGAGCTTCCGCGCCTCGCTGCACTCGCCATTGTGCATCCAGTTGGAATCACCCAAGAGCGTGATATACTGGATGCTGGGAATGCATGACATCCAGCACTCGTAAGCAAGCTCTTCATAATCGCGCCTGTTATAGACTGTTGGGAAGGCATCGGAGTGCAGACTGAGAGTTTTCAGGAGTGGACGGCCACCTTCAAGAAAACGTCCGCTATATGTCATCTCCTCGCCATACCCAAAAGGTGAAGCGGAATAATAGGTTTCAGTACGCAAGTGAACCGTACTGAGCGATGGAGAAAGGTGAACAACACTCCATAAGGCCGAGTTTAAGACCTCCCGGAAGCGATAGACGCTATAGTCTGCGTCTGCGTGGTTACTGGGGTCCGGTAGTAGTGGGTGAAGTGCATGCTTGATGAGACTGGTACGAAGCAGCATGGCGTGCGGAAGCTCGTCCACAGTGGGCGTGAACAGAATATGACCCAAGTTATCCACAAATTGTGCCAAAGTGAGCATCCCAAGGTTGAATGGGACTCGGTACCGCCCCACATACAATTTATCGCATTGGAATGAGAATATTGGTATCAGGCATCGAATGAAACGTCTGTTCTTCGGGTATAATAACAGACTCCTGAGCAACTTCATGAGGCACCGAGCACTGCTTATCGGAATTACCGCAAATAATGCTCGCTGTGCTGAACGGGACCAGGCCTTGGAAACAAGTGACAAAGCTCGAAGACGCTTTTGGATGATTTGGCAGTCGGGGGGTCGGTGTGGTGTGGTCCAAGAGAAAGTCCAAGGATCATCTTCTGGAAGGCTGCTATGGTGCAGAGCTGAGTGCAGCGTTGAAGCCATGTGCTCACATATCAGATCTCTTAGCTCCAGGGGAAGCTTTTTGATGGCCGAGGGCTTTTCATTGTGGGTCGTCATTGGAAGACTGGAGGAGCAAAGCAGGTGAGTACCTGAGATCGAGGAAAGTCAGCTGTTAAGCCACGGGCGAGTGTCAGACTGGAAGGACGGAACTAACCTGGACGAGGGCTTGTGTTTATCCTACTTCTTCACTTTGGGTAGACGGCGTGGAAGCGAGGGTATTCGAGAACGTAGAAGATGTACAGGTGGTGGCTGTCAGGCTGGGATTCGACGACCTGAGACACTTTGGCTGCCCTATACCACGGCGAGTGACGGGACCAAGTAAACATTGGGATACCCAAAATCAAGTGTAATGAGGCGATGGCGACAAGTTGTTTTGGTATGTAGTCAAGAAGAGGAATATTGTAATGGATGGAGAGGAGCAGGAGAATAATTTGGCTCTTGGTCCGCAGCCAAGTTTCTTTGCAAGAAGAGTAGTAGGTACCTACAAAAGGGCAGGTGGGTAGGTAGGCAGAGACGTGCGTCTGACGCTCCTTCCCGACGAAAGCCTTTTGCCCCTCGCCACTGCCTTCCTGAATTGCTCCTGCCATAAACACTTGTTCAAGGCCGGTAGGGTGAGTAGCCCGGGAACAACCGAATAGATAAGCCAACAAGACCGGCCCGGGACGGAATAAACAACTGGGTCCGGTTTGAAAGCGCAAACCATCGGTAAACCAGCTCAACCATCAAACACCCACATTGGGTTTCAACATGATTTGAATGTTCCAATCCTCTCACATCTCTCGGCCGTCACTGCATCTTCCAAGCCGGACCGGGCCGGACCAAACACCCCGCCTTGCACGGGGCGCAACTTCCGAAACCCAACGTCATCCGTCACCGTAGGTAAGCACCGCAAGCCGGGGCGCACTGGCTGTATCCCGGTGCATCTTTCTCCCCATTTCACCGCCCACCCGACCCGGAATCACCGACCGCACCAAAGCTGTGCCTTCCAACCATTTCCATCATCGACGTCATAGGTATCTCCCCATTACCCATTTTCCATCCATCTTTCCCTCACTCCATCCATGCCATGCCATGCCATGCCATGTCCATCCGGAGACACGAAAAGAACGATGGAAAATACAGTGCGCCCCTCCCTCCACCGTTTTCATCCCACTTCCCTCCTTCAACTCTCCAAAGTACCGACTACTTCCCTCTCTTCTTCTTCTTCCTTTCTTTCTTCCTTCCTCATCAACATCAGGGGTTCCTCCGTTTTCTCCCACTTCACTTTCATCCCCCTGGCAAACGGTCCTGCCTTGCCCTGAACAAAAAAGGGCTCCTCTTCTTTTGCCATCCCCGTGACCCAATTATCCCCCCCATAGGCGAGGGTACCGTTCGGATCGCTCAGGATAGCAACACATGGAAGTTTGAGACTAAGTTCATTAGGCGAGAGTAGGCGAGGAAATAGGCGAGCGAGGGTTAGACTAGGCGATGCCGATCGCCCTTCATTTACCTTTCTAACTAGCTAGCAGTTAACTAAAAATGGAATGATGAGATATAGATGGGATAAATAGCGGAGGATCCGGGTTCCAGTCCCATAGTCTATGAACTGGACTGGACCCAGGGCACCGGTAACGACGGGATCGATGGTGGGAGTTGGGGGATTGACTTTTAGATTGAAGTAGGGGAATGGGACGGGCTAATGAACCGGAGAAACTCCCGGGTTATTGGGCGGTGTACGTTACTAGATATGTGTTGACGTGGGGGTTGTATGGGCGGGCATGGGAGTTAGAGACGCTGGCTTCGGGGACCTCGAACTGAGACTGGGAACTAGTAAGGGATGAAGCGAGTTGTGGGGATGGAGGGGAGTGAGTAGTGTAGGGTGTTCGACTTGGGTGAACTTGAGCGAAGGAAACTGAGCTCAGACAGCTGTGTCATAGCCTACGCTTTGCTATGATCATAAGGGCTCGACAAGCTAGAGCTCTTTTAGATGCCCACTGCAATAAACAGTCAAGGAACTCCCAGCAACAAGTCTTCGTTCCAGACCTAACTAACTGTAAGAATCCATCCAGCTCTCCCAAAACTAGGACAGCTATGGCAATCTTCTGAGCCCTACCTCATTAGATCAGGTAACCCGGTCCAGTTAGTTCCAGTCTCGATTCCAGTATGTACCAGCTGTACATCTGCTTCAGTACCCGACGGAAGGGAACTGGCCAGACGGACACCAGCAGTAGCAGTCAAGGACATCCTGAGACAACACACCAAGGAGAACCCGAGCGAGCGGGCAAACGAACGAGCTAATCGGCGAATCCGTGGATCCCATCCCCTCCGTTTTCCCCAGACATTTGGACATTAGGGTGATAGTCTGATTAGAAGGCAGCTATCTTGGTCACTGGTGAGGCTTCTTTCACCAAGGGGGGACCTAGTCAGATTAGGGGATCAAGGGGAGCCAAGGGGATGGACCTGCCTACTGGACCTAGGGGAACCACAAGGCATTGGAACTCCCACAAAAGAAGAAAAAATCGGTAATTGCCGCGTCACCGCCCTGACGCCTTGCTTTTGGATACAGTAAGTAGGTACGAAGATAGTTCATATGGAAACTGGAAGCCCACTTGAACTGAACTCCGTTTCCATACCCTAGAAAGGCCCAAGAAAGGTTCTCCATTGATCTGTCACAGGGTCAAGTCACCTGAGGCCATCCAATGACACTCTCCTAGCCTGACTCCCATGTTCTCCATGTTCATTCTCGCCAATATAGAGCGAGAAGTCGCCGAATTAAAGCCACGAAGCGACCGAAGGACCGAGCGAGCGGGCGGACAGAGAAGAAAACGGTGCCTGACTAGGTATAAGACTCAGGGGCAGGGCCCCTTAGTGCCCAGCTTGCCCGCTGCTATGGATAGTATGCTCACTAACTCTTTTACATACTAGGTAAGACAGGGAGAAATTCCGGGGAGGTGGAAACTTCTTTTGATAGCGTTCTTGATCCCGTGGGTGGTGAGCAAGGTGGTTGAGCAAGGGGAAGCGAGCAGATAGGGATCATAATGTGGGTATCTTAAAGCCTCGTGGTATCTCTGGGACCTGGGATTAAGAACAATTCTTTCCCAAAAAGGGGCAGGTGTGACGAATGGGAACTTGGAATTGGTGAATTGGTTTCGATCGTAGTGAATTGATCGACAATGATGTTCGATTAGTTCGATTATAGCGTAGGAGGATGGACGAGGCGTGCGAGCCCAGCTCGGGGGGGAGATTGTTTAGCGAGGGTCCACGTGGTTTTACTTGGTCGCTGTTAACGATTGGGAATGGGGGACCATGGGGACCTGAATTATACCGTTTATAGCAGCGTTAGTTCTATGAGGTGTTGTAGATCCGTATGTTAGCGAGAAGTTTTTGGCGAGGGCCTGTCTGAGTTTCTCCGTCACAGTCTGGCCCCCCGGGCCCCGAGTCCGTTATCGTTGTCCGCCCGGCTGCCCTGGGACCCCGGCCGGCACCCCTGAGGGTTCAGTTCCATCCATTCGGTTCCGACGGCGTTTTACTCTTCTGTCGTTTTGACGGGGGCCCATGCATGACGTTGGGTTTCGACGATGACGAGGCCGACGGCGCGGCTGGATTACCAGCCTGACTTGAGTAAACAGTTTTGGGGGTTAATTTGGTCGTTTCACTGTTTGAGGCTTCGAGCCATGGGCTCGGTATCTCCGCCTTCCCCTTTTGCTTCTTTTTTGTCCATGTCCATGGTTTCGAGTTTTTTGAGCGAGCGAGCGAGCGTTATCACCACTGCAAGTCGACCCGACCCCCTGTTTGAAACCCCTGAATCAGAGGAAATGTTCGAGAAACAAGCAACGACTCCCCAAAATTACAAGGCGCGACTTGCTTCCAAAACTGATATATTAACACACAATATCATGACACCAACTGATACTCGTTAAAGTTCTCCCGCAAAAGCAAGAAAAAAACGTGGGACTGGATACAAGAGATCGTGATCTGGTGGTGCCGGTGGTGTGGTAACAGCCCAGGTGCTGTATCGAATGGTTGCAGTGGATCCTATTTTGACATTTTGGGGCCTCCTTGGGGCCCTTGGGACATTACCTAGCAACTGAATGGAGCCCACCTGCACCGTATCAGCATCACCTGGCTCCAGGGCAAAAAAGAAAAACGGGAAATTAGAGACGTCAGTTCTTGTCCGTTGTCAAACAGATGCAAATCCCGCCCAACTCCGTCCTCTTCTCTTTTTCCAGCAGTAGCTTCAGCCTGCCCAGGAAGAAACTCCGTTTTTTTCCCCAGTCCTCATCTCGAACGAGGGCTAAATAACAGATTAGCAGGGGGGATGCCTGAACAGTTCATTGTTTTCAGGGTCCTTTCTCCTGCTGTCCCAAACGGAAACGGACGGACGGGCATCTCCATGCCATGCCATGCCATGAGCCCGCGCCGGCGGCGGCGCCGCCGCGGTGGTGCCGTCGTGGGTGATGCGTTCGGTGGAGTCTTCTTGCCCATCAATGCCCGGAGTTTCGAAATTCAGGGCGAGACGTAACGGAAGGATGAATCAGGGGGGGTGAGTGGACCTTCTGGAAGCCTGGATGGAACGACAGAAAGGGTTCGCTTAACTTCCACTTTCGCCCAGAATAGTAATCGGTGGGTGCCGGATTGGATGACAGAAATGGAGTCGCCGTCCCAGCTGTCTGTCACTCTGTCGTAAGGCTCACTGCATGCAGCCTTGAAAGTGATGCACGGGGAATCCGGGATGGCATCTCGTGGCTGGCCCGCGGATGCGAGTTTTCTGTTCCTGAACGTGTGGTGAGAACGTTGTCAGAGTGGTAACCGATAAGGAAGCACCTTGCACAAACCCCATGATGCACTGTCAAGACTGCCGACAGCAGTCTCGATATCATCACTACACCCGGTCACCACCACACCACTAGATCACGATAGAACCACAAAAGAAGCATCTTCTCTTGCATCAAACACCGTCAGAATCAGAAATCGTTACGGTTTCGACGACGATAATGGCAAGGATAATCTTTTTTAGCCAAGCCCGCGAAACAAGACCCTCGCCGCCCTAGCAACTTGCAGCAGTTTTGCAGATTACGCCATGGGATCCGAAAGGCTGGTAACTGGCCATGATTGGACGTGCAATCCCATGGTTGCTTTCTGGGTGATTGAACAGGGACCGGAAGTGGTCCGCGGGGGGGTTCATGTACCGGGGGGCACATAACTTGTATGTGCGGAATTGGAAGACCTCAAACCAGAGCGGAAGTGCCGGATGGTCCCCTGGCCCCCCCTGGTATTTTCCGCCCAGTATTTTGGGGGTGGATGATTTCCCCATTGAGGATTTGCAACCAACCCCAGCGCTATCTTGTCGATCTGTCTTAGTGAATGATAGGTATCGATTTGTGCCTGTCTAGGTAGCCAAGCGAGCATGGAAGCTTTCCCACTTGATACCGACTGTATGTCTGAGATAGCTATACATACCAGGTTTTGTTAGGCGAGCCAGGCGAACAGGCGAGTTAGGCCTGTCTTTTGCCTGTCTAGCAGCTCATGCTAAAGAAGGATTCAAGCCAGGGCTCTAAACCTGGTCTTGCGTGGGTGCTAGGGACAAGAGACAAAATAAGACTGAAGAAATCTCTCCCAAAACGGAAAACCCCCCACCACATTACTTGCCAAGTGCGACCGGAGTTGGTTGGGGGAAGAACTAAGAAGCTGGGGAAACATATGCCTCTAGTGATGATGCCCGTCTCTTTGGGTCAAAACGGAGGGATTGACATTTGGATGGGTGTTTCCATGCGGGCTGACAAGGTTGTGGTTTCTTAATTAAGCCTCTCGCTCTGTGTAGCGTAGTCCGGGGAAGAGGAGGCGGGATGGTCGAGGTTGGATCGGGGATCCGGGTAAGGGCCGGGTGAGCAGCCGGATGGCAACCGGGAACTTGGATTCTCGTGACTTCGTTGCGACATGGAACAACCATATGGGGGACCATCAGGGCATCACCATGGTGATACCGTGGTGAGACGGAGCTTGGAAAGCTGGATGGAGTAGAGTGGGAGAAGGC